GTACCCTTTACCTCCCACATGGTTAGCTGCCTGGAGCCATGTCTAAGGACGCTCAGGCCTTCCATAACACCTCATCCCTCCTTTCAGTGAGTCAGTCAGTGAGCATTTATGGAGTGCTTACTATGTGTCAGGCCCTGTGCTTAAGGCTTAGGAAACAAAGAAAGACAAAAAACTGCCTGCCTTCAGGGAGCTTCCAGTCTGATGGGGGAGGCAACAATAACGGTAGCAATAAGATATAGACAGGATAAGGTGGAGATAATCAACAGAAGGAAGATACTAGCATTAAGGGGGACAGGGACTGTGTATCCCCCTTTTCTCTCCCTTATACTATTCTAGACCTGATTCTCACCAACAGGGAGAAACTATGGTTGAGCTTAGCACAGTGCCTGGTGCCCAACAGGTGCTGAATAAATGTTGATTGATTACTGAGTGGTGGTGGTTGTTTGACCTTCATTGTTGAAGAGGGTCATGACATCAGGAAAGCGATGCCATGACTTGCAAGTGAATTGGATTTAAGTGGGAGGGATGGGAGGGCTGTGCAAGGTCACCAGCCTCACTTTTTCCTCTAGAGCCATCTGGGTCCAGATACAGACTACTGAGGTGGAAATGATGGGAACCTTGAGAGGAAGTGACCACTCCATCCTAGAGTTTGAGAGAGGAGAGGAAATCTGGGCAAGGTCTGACACGGTTTGAGGGATACCTCCTCTGCCCCCCCCCTTGTCAATTAGATTTCAAAGGGTTCAGAAGAAAGGACAGGCAGAATCCCATGAATGAAAATTCTCCTGGGGAAGTCAGCTGAGGAGAGATGGGCAACTCTCCAGAATGAAGTTCTGAGGACACACAAGGAAATGATTCTGATGAAATAAGAGAACTTTATGATCCACAAAGAAGTTCCCTGCCAATTCAGATCTTACAAAATATGGAAGCAATCGAAAGTAAAGAGGGACAAACACATGAGTGTGACAGAATCCTCAAAAAAAAAAAAGGGTCAGGACCAAGCCTGAAACCAGAGAAGAGCTGAGGAAATACATCTAATTCCAAACCTTGCAGAGGCGAAATATCCCGTATATTGTCAGATAGGATCAATTTGTCAACTGATTCTGCCGCCTTTATTTCTCTTTAAAATCTTGGCCACAAGGGACGGCTCATGGAGTGGAGAATGTGGGGAAGGATATGTTCAGAAATAAAGGTGATGTGAAAACAAAAGATGTCAACAGAGATAATATAAAAAACAAACAAAAACCATCCGGAGTGTCTGGAGTGATAAAGCTTCAGAATGAGATGAGGCTGGCAAGGAAGACTAAGGACAACAACCTGGGATTTTTCTGTTTTAAAGCAGAGGATGAGACAAAGATAAGGGCACTGCTGGGGCAAGGGTGGGGGAAGTGGTTCCATTCTGACTTTTGTTTCTTTTTGCTCTGGAAGGAGAATCACTTTTGGACTAGAAAGACCCCAACCCAGTAATCATTCCAGGAGACGGATGCTGCTGCCTCCCACCCCCCACCCCCCCAGACTTCTTAAATCCCCACTCTCCTAAATTCCTTCCACCCCTAAAAGCCCTGCAGTCAGCAAACAGTCCATCCACCAAAAGGGCGAGGCAGTGAGGGGGTCCTGAGACACACTCACAGCCAGGGTCTTCCCCTCCAATATCAGCTGTCATTCACACTGTCTAGAGCTTCTACGTGCAGTTTGTACATCGTTGCCTCCCCCATTTGAATGTAAACTCCGTGAGGACAGGGATTTTTTTGGGGGGGATGGGAATGCTGTGTATTCATCAGCACTTAGTCGTGTGCTGAGAACAGAGAAATAACAACTATCGTTTATGAGGGACTTCAAGGTTTGTAAAATGTTACAGGTATTAATGTTTGTAGTAATTTACAAATAACATCTCACTTGATCCTCACAACCACCCTGGGAGGTAAGTTATTATTATTGTTATATTATTATCCCCTATTTTTTATTGCCATTAGTATCTCCATTTTACAGTTGAGGAAACTGAGGCAGAGAGAGGTTAAGTGACTTGCCCAGGGTCACACAGCTAGGAAGTACCTGAGTTCAAATTTGAACTCAGGTCTTCCTGACTCCACACCTGGCTCTATCCACTGCACCATCTAGCTGCCTTAGAATTGCTTTTCAAAGGCAGTATGTTTGGGACCTTCTTGCATGCACTGGACTCAATCCATGCTGCCTCTCTTCCCTAGAACCTTGGACTCTGTCCTAGACTCGGGGCTCTGAACCCAGCCTCAACGCCCTTTCCAGGACACCTATAAACGCTTCGCCTCCTCCTCTCCCCACCTCCTTTCCCCCGTATGTGTGTGTATGTGTTTATTGCCTGTCATATAGTAATAAATGCTTTCTCATTCATTCCCCAAGTATAATTCCTTGAGGGCAGAGACTGTCTTGTATCCCCGGCTCTTAACACAGTGTCCAGCACACAGGTCAAAGCCTTAGGATACACAGCAGACAAATCCAAAACCTCTTTCTCAGGTAGCCAGGTGGCACAGTGGTTGGAGTACTAGGCCTGGAGTCAGGAAGCCCCGAGTTCAAATCTGGTCTCACACACTCAGTAGCTGTATGACCCTGAGCAAGCCACTTAATTTGTTTGCCTCAGTTTCCCCAACTGTAAAATAGAGACACTAATGGCAACAATAGGGGATAATATATCATATGGTGATAAGAATATAGTAATAATAGTAACCTACCTCCCAGCATTGCTGCGAGGATCAAATGAAGTACGTGTAACGCACTTCGTAGAGTGCTTGGTTTATAGTAGGCACCTGATGCTCGCACTCTCCTCCCCCTTTCTTGGAGAGGGCTCCCCCACACCCACACTCACACCTGTTTCAGTAAAATGCCCAGGAAGTTGTTATCTACAAATCTGCCCTAGTTTTAATCTTCAATCTCTTATCTACTGCCTCACTCCTTGATGCCTGCAAACTTTTCCAGTTCTCCCTAATTCTTTAAAAAAACCAAATCCTTCATTTGATCATACCTTACCCTCAGGTCCTTTCTCCCTCCTCCATTTCATAAACTCCTAGGAGAAACCGTCTACACCTGTTGCCTCTACTTCCTCTTCACAACCTAGACCCCTCCTACCACTCCAGACACACCTAACCCCCCAGTGTGCTGATCTGCTGGCACCAAGTTGAACAAGACACAAGCCAGCCCCTCCACCTCTGAGCTCTGGGCATTCTCTCTGGTTGACCCTGATACCGGGGACACTCTCCCTCCTCCCCTCTGACTACTGACCTTCCTGGCTTCCTTTGAGTCCCAACTAAGATCTCACCTCCTACAGGAAGCCTTCCCCGACCCCTCTTAATTCTAGCGCCTTCCCTGTTAATTAAATCTCATTTACCCTGCATATGACCATGCTGTTCTCCCTTAGACCGGGGGATGAGAGGCTGCAGACGAGGCAGCCATCCAGGCCCACGAGGAGGGAAGTTTGGGGCATTGGCCTCACTTCTCACCACAGTCGTCACTTCAGCTTGGCACCTCCTAACTGGGGGTCTCTGAACTACTTTTTGAAAAAGATTTTGAGAACTGTCCATTAGAAATTACGTTTCCTTTATAATTGTTTTTTATTTGATGCTTTCAAAAGCATTATTCTTAGAGGGGGCCCACAGGCTTCCCCAGACTGCCCGAGGGGTCCAGGACTCAAAATACTTGAAGACCAGAAGCCCTGCTTTAGCACAAGGCAAACCTGGTTCCGATTAGCTTATTCCTATTAAGTTTTCATTCTGGTGACAAGGACCTGTAGGACACACAAGGGGTTGACTTCTCCCCTCCGTCATGCTAGGGTTTGGGAATGACCCAGACGGGAAATCCCAGCCCTGGAGTCTTCACCTCCCAAATACAGGAACCGCCAGACAAGGAGGAAAACCCCCACCCCCCCATGAGGTTTCTTGGGGTCATTTATTACTTGGCCCTGGATGGAATAACATGAGACCAGAAGAGTGAGTCTGTAGTCCAGGGATGGGGAGCCTGCGGTCTTCCAGGCCCTTAAGTGCAGCCTTTTGACTGAATCCAAATTTTACAAAACAATGATTCAGTCAGAAGGCTGCACTTAAGGACCCTGAAGGCCACAGGTTCCCTGCCCATCTAGTCTTAGGAGTCCTAATGCACACCCCTAGTTATCACACCAAGGGCCAGAGCCAAGTCAGGATGGGGGATGTGTTTTGTTGTCTGAAGCAGTGACTGGAACCTGGGAAATCCACACAGTCCCCTCATTCAAATGCTCCAGCCAGGTGGTTGAGCTGCGGCTGAACTTGTCAGGAGCAGGGTGTGGGAGAAGAGGGACCACACATCTGGCTAGATGGCTGTCAGGGTCACACAGGTGACAACGAGCCTTCCGGCAGCGCAACCCGGAAACCCTGAGCGGGACCCAGTACAAAGGTCCTCTAGCGGAAAACCAAAGTGTGCAATGTGGAAAGCACCCTGAGGCACTAGAGGTCACGGCACACAGACCGAGCCCTTCCACTTGCACAGCGGGTCTCTGCCTCGGCCTGAGGCTGGCCTCCCCACCGAGGCTCCTCCCCAGCAGCCCAGCCGGGTCGTCGGCGCCAGGCTGAGGCTGCGGCGACAGACGGAGGGCAGGAAGCTGAGTCACTTGAGGGTCAGGGTTTTCTGAAGTCTGTGGTTTCATCTGCTCCCAATGCCTCCTAGAATAACCGCTGTCAAGGTCATTTCATGGCAGGCAGATTCCATCCCTGCTGACTCAGAGCCCAGGCAAACACGGGCCCATGGACCATAGTGTCCTCTGACACGCATGGTCTCCCCTCCTCCCTTCCTGGGCACAGCATCAGCTGCTATTTGTGGATTTGGAAATCAAATCACTTGAAGAAAGATAAAAGTGTCATCTCTGAGCAACGGGACGCACTTTTCCCAACACTTCTCACCCACAAGCTCATGGGACAGGAAAGGTCCTCAGAGACACAGCTCCTACATGAAGCCTTTCCTGCTCCCTGCCCTCCCTCCCCAAGCACCTTATACTAAAGCACCTGGAAGCTATTCACTTTCTGTTTATTCTGAACATCCTTACATATGGTGATGGTGTCTGCCCCACAGAATGCAAGGTCTTTGACTCCCCAGGGCCTAGCACCGTGCCTCGCTGATCCACAGCTGGTGTCTAGTGGATTCTTGTTGACTGAATGACCTGATGCTCACTTTCTGGATGAAGTCAAGAGAGCAAAGACAGGTCAAGGTTTGCTCCACAGTAACACAGCAAATAGGTGCAGAGAATCTCTTCATGGGAAGCCGTCAGGACGGCAGGAAGGTCACGATTGTAGCACCGTGCACTGGACTTTCCAAAGTGTCCAGATGTCCTTCCTGTGAGGTGAGGTAGGTCCTGTGTCCGCTCAAGACTCCACCTTCCCAGGCCATCTGTGCACACCAGCCAGAGGGCAAAGAGGAGAGAGTCATGGCTATCTCAGTGGCTGTTTGAGGTCAAACAGGCCCGTTCCTCCCTTGACAACCTTCCCGACCACCAGGCAGGCTGACGGGGATCTCAGCTCATCATGGGCACCTGGTACAGACATAAGAGAGTCACCGGTTTTTCCTGCCTGAGGACAGGCCCTGCAAGGCAGATGCAATCTAAGTCATGGTTCCACTAGGGTCCCTCCCTAGCCCCCAACCCAAACAAAGACCAGGATCTCTCAGCGCCCTTTTGAAACTTCCATCTACTCTGGGCAGCGATGGAGCAGGCTAGTTCTCCTGGACACTAGGGAGAGGCTCTCAAGCAGGCAGGGGATGGAGAGCGAGGCCCGGCTGGACACCGGCCTACATGTCAGGAGGAGGCCTGGCCGAGGGAATCACGGCCCCAGGAGATGACACTGCCTCCAATCTCGAGGGATACTGTGTAGGTGAGACACCCTCCCACGGAAGACCCCATGGGCAAGAGTCCACTGGGACTTTTAGGATGCTCGGCTATTAGCCTTGAGATGTTCCCTTGCCCTCTGCCAGGTCCACCCATCAAGGGCTTGATGCCATCATTTTCTCTTAAGACACATGAGAGGGCATTTTCCCTGGGCTGTGGTGATGGTCAAGAAGTAGCAGGCACAACTGGACCTAACAACAGTAGCTGCTGTTGACGTTTCACAGAGGTCTTCAACTGGCAAAGTAGCTTACATATCAAGATGGGGAAACTGAGGCTGGGAGACTCTAAAGGATTTGTCCCTGGTCTGCTCCGGGACTACAGGCTCACACTGCTAGAGAGTGAAGATCTGAGATACATCATCTTTTCTGACCTTCCCACCAATGCTGGGAGAGGGGTGCGACTTTTACCTCAATATTAAAGATGAGAAAACTGAGACAGAAAGGTTAAATGACTTGCCCAGGGTCACACAGCTAGGATATATCTGAGAACAGACTTGAACTCAGCTCTTCCTGACCCCAGGCCCGGTGCTCTATCCTTAGAGCTCCATTTTCCAGAGGTGTCTGGGCTGCCTGCGGCATGCTGCTGGTGGGTAGGAGGCTGGCCGGAGCTACTGGGCAGCTGGTGCCCTTTATCCCCCTTGATACAGTCACCAGCACAGTCATGTCCCTCACCAACTCTGACCAGCCTCCCTGTGTGCGCACCCTCGAGCTCACTTATAATTGGTGAGTGTTCTAAAGGGACCCTCGAGTTTGTTAATGCATCTGAAGAAGGCTCCGGCTGTCTGCGCCCTCCAGACACGAGGGTAGGGATGGGCCTCATGCACTACCCTGTCTCCTGGGGCCCAGAACAGAGAGCTGGCTTGGTGGTCTCCTTCCCCTGTCGGCCCCTCTGTGCACCCCACAATTTAGCACACGGCTCTAGGACACTTGCTCCTTCCCTTGAGTCTGAGCTCAGACACCACCTTCTAAAGGAAGCCTTGCCTGGTCCCCCCCAAGCAAGCACTTTCCATCTCCCCTGGATCTAGCTTGTCCCTCATTCGACCATGAGCTCACTGAGGGCAGAAAACATGTTGTCTGTGCTCCCAGCACTTGGCATGGCGCCTGGGTCAGAGGAAGCAGTTACAAAAGGCTCGTGCCTGACCAACGGAGCCGAGAAGTGGGTGGATGACGGCGGGCACTCATCTCCCTCTGTCCCCTCTGTGCTGTCCAGCAGATGGTAAGGGCTGTGCATCAGCAGCTTGAGGGAAGGTGTGGACAGACAGGGCTGACATCCAGAGAGGGGCTCCCTGAAGCACCCTCTTGGCCACAGTACCTGAGCACAGAATTCTGGCCAAGGCCCCAGGCTCTCACTGGGCCGGTCTCTCAAGCACCACAGCTGCTCACTCAGGTGAGCTGGGATTGCTTTGTTTCTCTACGTTTCATAAAGATGAATGTTGCCAGATTTTCCTCAGATAATCCCATTTCTGCTTCCTTCCCACCCTGCCTGCCCAAAGCAAAACCTAACTCATTTCATTCATGACACAACTGGAGTGTAGCCCAGGAGACAGTTAGGAGCCCGCAGGTCAGGAGTGGTCCCCACACAAAGGGCTGGGGAAGCCAGTGAACCCAGAGCCCCGCCCAGCCACTGACCCATCATGGTCGCCTCCTTCAGGAACTTGAAGCTGGTCTCAAATGTCATCTGCTGCAGAGGGGAGGAGTTGGACTGAATCCCAAACCGGTTCAGAGGTTTGTAAACGCCCTCAAAGCACATGTAGTCGGCCACCAGGGAGAGGTGCCGGGGATCCACGGCAATGCCTGTGGGGAACAAAGAAAACGCAGAAGGATTATGACAGAGACTGGAGGGAGGGAGGAAGAGGCAAGCAGGATGACCACACCCACGCTTCTTTAACTAATTCTCTGGTCCCTCTCCCCTACAGTGCCATCAAGGCCTGCAGCCGCACTAGGTGAGATGTGCTGGCCACTCTCAGGTTCACAGCCACTCTGGTGTTGGCTCTCGGGTGAAACAGGAAGTCTCCAGGATGCTGTTTAATGGCCTGTGCCATCGACCTTCCCAGCCTGCTCTCACACATTTCATCTCCCTGCTCAGTTCTACATCTCAACCTCTGTATCTTCTGAAGCAAGCCCCGATTCCCTGCCTTGGTAACACCCTCTCTCTCCTCAAAGTAAGCTGTTGCTGTCTACACCCGCACTGTATCCTGGTAGGAGAACGGCACTCCTCAAGGGCGGGGATGGCTTCATTTGGCACAGTCATTTTTGTTGGACTAAATAAAGAAATCCTATCTCTGGAACACTTCAGCTACAAATGGAGCCATAGGCACAGAGAAGCCGCAGTTCGGGAGAATGGCAGGACTAGAGGCACCACTTTCACCTCTCATGGTACCCTTGGTCACCTGGTCCTGGTGGGGCCCACACAACAGCTGGACAAGAGAACAGCAGGTTCTGTGCCAATCTCAGTCACCAAGGGAGGCGGGACAAATAGTGACATCCCAGACCTCTGTCCTTGTTGCTTGGCGCCAGAGAAAAGGCGGGTCCAGAGCCTCTGACCCTCAGAGCCATAAGGGACCCAAACAAGACTCCTGGGGACAGCCCCCCAGCCTTGACCTCCATGTCTCTACTGAGGAAGCAGCCTGACCCCGAGCGGGACAGCTCCAGGGCCCTTACAAAGAGACTCAATGGACATGCATGCGACATCTCCCTCATTCCTTCTGCTCACCGGGGCCAAGCAGAGCAAATCGAATCTCTCCTGATTCAAAGAGGATGGTGAAAATGGTGATAGAAAATACAGCATAGGGGGGCGGAGCCAAGAGGGAGGAGTGAAAGCAGTGACTTGCTTGAGCTCTCCCCCAAACCCCTCCAAATACTCATAAAAAATGGCTCTAAACAAATTCTGAAGCAGCAGAACCCACAAAAAGACAGAGTGAAACAAATATCCAGCCCAAGACAACCTGGATGATTGATCAGAAAGGTGTATCGTGCAGGGCTGGGGGCACAGTGCAGCACAGCGTGGGTACGCAGGCCTCAGCGAACCTGGAGCAGGCCTCAGAGGACTGAATCGCGGGCAGCTGTGGAGGTTTCCAGACTCCTCAATCCACGAATGCCAAAGACAACTTAGAAGGTCAGTGGGAAAAATCTGTTTCTGTTGGTGGTCAGAGAAGAAGGCGGGGTCTCAGCTCCATTCCCCAAGAGCCTGGCCCTGGGCGAGGCAGCTGCTTTTCCAAGCTTCCAGCCCACAGACTGAGGGGGAATCCAGTGGTTGATCAGAGAGAGATTGTAGGGATCTCTTTGCCAGTGCTGAGGCAGGAATCTCTTGCTTTGCCTGTGTGTGGATCTGGGTCACAGTTCTGGGCAGCGGTCCTGGGGTGAGGAGGAGCGCTGGCTTGGTGGAAATTGTAGTGGCTGTGGAGAGGAACCTTTCCTCACAGTCACAGTTCCTCACAAGAAAGGAGTACTTGTGGTCACAGGCCAGGAAAGGAGTAAACACCTCGCCCCTTATCATACCACCTTGGAAGAACTGAAAATTTACAGGTCCCTACAAGTATCTCTGAAAACAGCTGTACAAACCCCCAAAGCTTGGGACAGTACATTCTCCACATTGGAGGCAGACTCTTACCTTAACAAAGAGTTTAAAACTCAAGTAATTGGCTGGGATCATGAGCAAGCAGTGCAAAAAGAGTCAGATTGTATTATCTTACTTTGGTGAAAAAGAAGATCAAAATATACAACCAGAAGAAGACAACAAAGTCAAAGCTCCTACATCCAAAGCCTCCAAGAAAAATATGAATCAGTCCCAGGCCTTGGAAGAGCTCAAAAGGGATTTTGAGAAGCAAGTAAGGGAAGTAGAGGAAAAACTGGGAAGAGAAATGAGAGTGATGCAAGAAAATCATGAAAAACAAGTCAACAGCTTGCTAAAGGAGACCCAAAAAAATACTGAAGAAAATAACACCTTAAAAAATAGCCTAACCCAAATGGCAAAAGAGGTCCAAAAAGCCAATGAGGAGAAAAATGCCCTAAAAAAAAAATTGGCCAAATGGAAAAGGAAGTCCAAAAGATTACTGAAGAAAATACTTCCTTAAAAATTAGAATAGAGCAATTGGAAGCTAGTGACTTTATGAGAAATCAAGACACTGTAAAACAAATCCAAAAGAATGAAAAATTAGAAAACAATGTGAAATATCTCACTGGAAAAACAACTGACCTGGAAAATAGATCCAGGAGAGAGAATTTAAAAATTATTAGACTATCTGAAAGCCATGATCAAAAAAAGAGCCTAGACATCATCTTCCAAGAAATTATCAAGGAAAACTGCCCTGATATATTAGAGGGCAAAATAGACATTGAAAGAATCCACAGATCTCCTCCTGAAAGAGATCCCCAAAGGAAAACTCCTAGGAATATTATAGCCAAATTCCAGAGTTCCCAGGTCAAGGAGAAAATATTACAAGCTGCCAGAAGGAAACAATTCAAGTACTGTGGAAACACAATCAGGATAACACTAGATTTAGCAGCTTCTACATCAAAGGACCGCAGGACATGGAATATAATATTCTGGAGAGCAAAGGAGAGAGGATTACAACCAAGAATCACCTACCCAGCAAAACTGAGTATAATCCTTCAGGGGAAAAAATGGTCATTCAGTGAAATAGAGGATTTTTAAGCATTCCTGATGAAAAGACTAGAGCTGAATAGAAAATTTGACTTTCAAATACAGGACTCAGTGGAACATGAAGAGGTAAACAGGAAAGAGAAATCATAAGAGACTTATTAAGATTGAACTGTTTACATTCCTGCATGGAAAGATGATATTTGTAACTCATGAGACCTTTGTCAGTATTAGGGTAGTTGGAGGAAAAAAATTATATGTATGTATGTATATATAGATAGATAGATAGAGGGCACAGGGTGAGTTGAAGATTAAGGGGTCATATCTGGAGAATAAAATTAAGGGATGAGAGAGGATTATACTGGAGAAGAAGAAAGGGAGAGGTAGAATGGGGTAAATTATCTCACAAAAAAAAACAGAAAAGAAAAGTCTCTTACAGTGGAGGGGAAAGGGGAAGGTGAGAGGGAATGAGTGAATCTTATTCTCATAGGATTTGGCTTAAGGAGGAATAACATACACATTCAATTGGGTATGGAAATCTGTCTTACCCTACAGGAAAATAGGGGGAGAAGGGGACAAGAGAGCAGGGGATGATAGAGAGGAGGGCAGATTGGGAAAGGGGTAATCAGAAGTAAATACTTCTGAGGAGGGGCAGGGTCAAAAGAAAGAATAGAATAAATGGGAGGGCAGGATAGGATTAAGGGAAATAGAGTTAGTTTTTCACAACATGTCTACTATGGAAGTGTTTTGCATAACTGCACATGTACAACCTATATTGAGTTGCTTGCCTTTTCAATGAGGGTGGGTGGGGAGGGAGGAAGAGAGAAAATTTGAAACCTGAAGTTTTAAAAACATATGCTTAAAAAAATGTTTTCACATGCTATTGGGAAATAAGAAATACAGGAAATGGGGTACAGAAGTCTATGCTGCCCTTCAGGAAAATAGAAGGGGAAGGGGACAAGAGAAGGGGGCAGAGACAGAAGAGAGGACAGACTAGGGGAAGGGATATTCAGAATGCATGCCATCTTGGGGTAGGGGGAGGGGTGAGATGGGGTGAAAATTTGGAACTCAAAAACTTGTGGAAGTGAATGTTGAAAACTAAAAATAAATAAATTTATATTAAAAAAAGAAAAGAAAAAAAAACAGCGTAGGAGGAAAAGGGTCATAAACCCATTTTAAAAAACAGGCCATAAATGAGCTCCCTAAGAAAAAAAGCATCCGGACCAAACAGATTCACAAGTGAATTCTACCAAACATTTAAAGATCAACTAGTTCCAATATTAAATAAATTATCTTAAATAATAGGCGAAGAAGGAGTCCTACTAAACTCTTTTAGGAAATAAAGATGGGGCTGATACCTAAACCAGAAAGACCAAAAACAGAAAAGAAAATTTTAGACCAATTTCACTAATGAATATTGATGCAAAAATCCTAAATAAAATAGTAGCTAGGAGACTACAGCAATATAACACAAAGATTATATATTGTGACTAAATGGGATTTATGCCAGGAATGCAGGGCTGGTTTAATATTAGGAAAATTATGAACATAATTACCAAGATAAGGTCAAAATGGATACATGGCCCAGACATCAAAGGAGAGATATCATAAGTAAATTGGAAGAACATAGACTAACTATATTACCTATCAGATTTATGGAGAAGAGAAGAATTTATGAATAAACAAGAGATAAACAAGTATTGTGGGATGTAAAATGGATAAAAATTTAAAAGCTCTTGTACAAAGAAAACCAATTTAGCCAAGATTAGAAGGAAAACAGAAAAACTGGGGAATCATTTTTATAGCTAGTTATTTGGATAAAGACCTCATATCTCAAATATATAGAGAATTGAGTCAAATTTCTAAGAATGAGTCATTCCCCAATTGATAAATGGTCAAAAGACAGGAACAGGCAGTGACTGGAAGACAAAATCAAAGCTACAGCCACGGGAAAAAAAATGCTCTAAATCAATGATGAAAAATGAGAAATGCAAATTAAAACAACTCTGAGGTATCATTTCATTGGCTAAAATGATAGAAGACGAAAATGACAAGTGCTGGAGGAGATGTGGGGATATTGGGATACTAATACACTATTGGTGGAATTGTGAACTGATTCAACCATTAAGGAGACCAATTTGGAATTATGACTAAAGAGATAAAACTGTGAATAATCTCTGACCCAGCAATGACATTATTAGGTCTGTTTCCCAAAGGTGATCAGGGAAAAAGAAAAAGAATGTATATGCTCTAAAATATTCATAGCAACTCTCTTTGTGGTGGCAAAGAATGAGAATTCGAGGGGATGCCCATCAATTGGGTAATGGCTGAATAAGTTGTGGTATATGAGTGTGATGAACACTACTGTGCTGTAAGAAATGATGAGCAGGCTGATGTCAGAAAAACATGGAAAGACTTGTATGAGGTAATGGAGAGTGAAATGAGCAGAAACAAGAGAATGTTGTACACAGTAACAGTAATAAATACTGTTCGAAGAGTAACTGTGGATCATTAATCTGTTCTGAATAATATGAATAATCAAATCAACTATGAAGGACCTCTGAAGGAAGATGCTATCTACTTCAGAGAAAGAACTGATACGTGGGAGTATGCATTATATGGTTCCATATCCATATCTATATCTATATCCATATCTATATCAAACACTGTCCTTCTCTAGTGAGGGCTTAGGAGGGACAGAGGGAAAAAACTCAGAATTTGAAATGCAACTAAACAAATAAATAAATAACCAAAAAACGAACAACGAAAAAATTTAAAAGAAAAAAAGGGGGGGGGGAGAGTCAGTTCAGTAAACCCAACCAATGCAGCCAAAAAAGAAATAAAGGAAAAGCTCGTGAAGTGGGCCAGAGGCTTGGAGGCCACTTGCACCTGCATGTCTTGGACGCTCTTGGACAGGGCATGCAGCGAACTGCATCACAAACACAGAAACAAGCAGTCAGCAGCACAGGCATCGGCTCACAACCCACTGGTGTCACGAGGTCAGGTTAATCACGGCTTGGAATAGTGTTTAAAAGCTCCCGTGACACAGGTGACAACAGAAATCCCCTCGTTTGGTGATTCACTGAGGATTAACAGCCATGAGGTGGCCAACAGCAGCGCCCCTGACCACCCAGAATGCCCTGCTCAAAGGCCAAATGCAAGAGGACTGCTCGAGGGTCACCGGAATTCGGCAGATGACGTGATGGTGGCTGGACTGACCCACAGAAGCCAGCAGGGTCTTCCCTCTCAAGGAGAGTCCAGAATCCCAGAGTAGGAAGGGACCTCCAGGTCATCTATTCCAACCTGGCCTGGACAGGCCAAGGACAGTGGCCACAACAATACCCACAGGGGTCATCCAGTCTTCGAGTGAAGATGCCTGATGAGAAAGAACCCAACCCACTTGCTAACGTGGTCTTTTCACTTGAGGACAGATCTCCAGTCATCACCAACTCCTGCAGGCTGAAGCCAATAAGAGCGAGGAGGAGCTGTCTCCCTCACGACAGCCCCTCGGACACAACGAAGCTCTCTTCTGCTCTGCCCCCCACTCTCCCAAGTCTCTGCACAAGAAAAACCACCTGAATCAGTCCATCGATCAATAATCATTCATTATGAAGATTTTAGGAGGAATAATTCACATGGCCCAGGCATGACACGGAGATGGATGGGCAACCAAGCAGCAACTCTGCTGCTACCAAGACCCATCTTTGACATAATGGTTTTCTAACTAATTCTGCAGCAGATTTACACCTGTTTCCTGGTGGTGCTACAGACAGCCCTCATTCAGGGATTCAAAGTTCTGGGGGCCCCAAAGGCCAAGATGCACAGTGTTATGAGCTGGCTACTGTACATCATCCACGGCAACTTCTGGATAAGAAGCAGCATGACTGCGTGCCCTGTCACACGGCCAAAGCAAGGGAAAGAAGAGTGGCCCCAGGGGCCCTTGATGCTGCCTATGGGCAGATGCTCCAAGGAATGTTTACAGAAAACTACACGCTGGAAGAGCACAGTGCGAGAGGTTATGTCCTGAGGGAGGGAGCGCCTACGATGACACCACGGATGATGGCTGTACTGCTTTCACTCAGGCAGAGTCCCTGAAAGTCAGGGACTAATTCCCTTTACTTCCCTGCCTCAAAGGCCCCTCGGTGCATTTCTAAAGCAGCAGAGACCCCAGATTTCGCCAGGAGAACACCTTACCATACACAGCAAACACGTCTTTGATCTCCTTCTCAATCACCCGCAGGGCGGCCTCAATGCCATACGTGTTAGCCATGGCATGAATATCATTGGAATAGAGGCGGCTGAGGTCCAAGACCTATCAACAGGAAGAAAATTATCTGTTCAGAGCAGCCAGCCCCAACCTCTCCACCCTGGAGACTCTCACCTCTTTGACTCTGCCACTATGTCAGGAAGCATGCCAGAGCCAAGGAGTGGCGCACGCGTGCACGCGCACACACACACACACACACACACACTCTCTCTCTCCCCCTCACTCACTGCTGACTGCAAGCTAGCCAAGGATCCAGAATGAGGCTCATTTCCATTATAAGGGGAACAAAATGATTCAATACAAAGAAGGTTGGATTTGCTGGGTTTTTTTCTTCTTTTTTTTTTTAAAACACATAAGACTGATTAGTGTGCAGTTTCCCAGCGGGCAGGCATTTCCGGCTCCCCTGACCTCCCTGCTAGGCCCACAGGCCCCGGAAGCTCTCAGACACTGATCCTGCAGGCGGCCTTGCTTCCAGGTTATTTCTACTCTGGTTTAAGAGTGGCCCTAGCTGGTCCTGGCTGCTCATTTGAGTGGGGCCTGGGCTGAGCATGTGCTGTGACCCTCAGTTTGGCTTGGAAGAAGCCTGGTGGCTGCTCAACTTACACAAATAACCCGAGGGACATGAAACCCCCCAGTGCTGTCCTGTCCCCTCCTGGCCTGGTAAGCTTTTAAAAGAAGGGAGTTTTAGTGAGAAGCTGCTGACCAGCTGCAGGCTGGGCTGGGGGAGTCTGCTAGGAGTCCTTGGGCCTGAGGAGAAACTGAGGCAGCAGGCTCAGATGGTGGAATTAAAAAGGCACTGTCCTGGAAGCAAAGGCCGGGTGGGGGCAGGGCAAGGGCGCGCGTACATCTGTATACTTGAACAGCTCCGGCAGGTTGATGCCCTCCGTGTTCAGGACAAGCTCCTTCTCCTGCTTTTTGTTGGTGGTGTCATTGAGGAGGCAGCGGGTGATTCCCTTGGTCTCGTAGACGACAGCACTGTGGGCCAAGGAGACCACCAGCGAGCACAGGTCAAAGTGCACCTTCATCAGCGGCAGCTTCAGCGTCACCTGGAGAGAAGGCGGGCCAGGCGTGCGGTGAGGCCTTGTGTTCAAACACGGCCTCCTGGCTGCCCTGGCAGCACAGAATGACTGCAGCCTGGGTCAGGGGCGAGGGGACATGGGCCGGAAGAAGAGGTGGGTGTGTCTGTGTGTCTGTTCAAGGCGTAACCAAGGCTCTGGGCGAGCTGCCCTAAGCCCTGACTGGTCCGGGGGAGCAGGCGTGCACTCACTCTTCCTCCTGGCTCTGGGGGTTTGGGAAGCATGGGAGAGGGGGAGCAGGTGCTGCACTGGGGGGACGCCAAATTTCTGAGGGCATAAAATGGAAGGCGTGAGAGGGAGAGGCCCAATGACCCTAAAAACCCCAACGCAGGAAGCCTCTTTTTGCACACTCTCAACAGAGGGGCTCACCTTTAAGAAATCAGCCACGCAGTCAGTCCCCTCCCTGCTCGCCGTCCCCACTGGCCTGGCCCGGTCCACGCTCTGGACCCACGTCCCACCCTCCAGCCCCCGCTGCCCCACCCTCCGCCGCCTCTCCCCCTGCCTCCCTCCCCCATCTGGCAATCAGGCTTCCTCTCAGCTCAAAGGCCTCTCTCAAAGTGTCCCCAAGGTCCTTTCATCGCTGAAGGCTGTGGCCTTTCTGAGCCCTTTGGAGCAGCCCACACTACTGGTCATCCCTCACCCTGGACACCCGGCCACCTCTCTTCACAGCCTCCTCTCTTATCACAACCCCTAGGTGATTACACATCAGTCTTCACCTCTCTCTCCTCAGACCATCCAACACAAGCATTTCTAACTGAATAGAAGACGTCCTGGGTTTGAATCCCGCCTCTGAAGCTGACTCCCTGTGTTATCCCGGACCAATCGCTTCCTGCTGGGTCTCACTAGATGAGTGGTTTGGTCTAGATGGCCTCCAAGAGCCCGCCTGCCCAGTTCTAGGGCTGGCGCCCTCATTCGAGGTCTAACACAGAGCTCGGCCTGGGGTCTTTTTTCTCATCTCCCACAACCAGGGGAGCTCCCCCAGCCCTCCTACCTCACACCACAGGCCCTTCTCCACATCGAACGTGTAATCCTGGATGGACGAGTGGATGTTCCGTACAGCCTGGACCCTCAGCTCCGCTTCTGCCCCGGAGGGCCCGTGCCTGTGTGCCCGCTTCTTGCTGGGCGCCAGTGAGGAAGGCGCTGGCTGCTCAGTGTCTGGGCCCTGGCTGCCCTCCTCCTCTCGCTCATTCTCCTCCTCATTCTCTTCTTCCTGCTCCTCTTCCTCACTCTCATAATCCACCTGGGTAAGAACAGAGGCAGGAATGGCAAATTAGCAAGCTGGGGGCCTGGAGAGGGAGCTGAGGAAGGGGTCTTCGGATTCTGCGGCTCCTGGCCTTTCTGTGCCTTCAGGAAGCCCTCCCCTCTCCCTACCGATCTACCCTCCACCAAGTCTAAAGCACCGTCACCATGCACCCCCTCCATGACGAAGGCAGCTTTCTCTCTCCTTCGATGCCCCAGGCACTCATCAGTGTCTTGGTTACCTCACCTTTCGGCGCTGAGGTCAGTAACCTCAGTCACCCCCTGGCTCTGCGGCCTCTGAAGCTGTCTCCTCTGTCCAGTGAAATAACTGGAGCGCCCACCTCTGGGGGGCCATGGGGAGCACTCAGCGAATGTCAAAGCATTTTTTTTATTGTTATTTTTATTATCGCTTTGACCGCTATTTCTAATCTGAGCTCCACTCTGGCAGCTCTGCAGGTGAGCTGAGCCAAGACGCCCTCCAAGGTGACCTGTGCTGGCTTCCTATGGCCTGGGGGCACCCTGACCTCTAGCCCATCCCAACAGGTGGCACCTGGGCCCCTTCCTCTCACACTCCCTCAGCCCTCTCATGCTCTGGACAAATGAAAGGCAAGAGGAGAGGAAGACCCGGGGGTGGCAGGCCCTTGGCTCGCACCCGGATCTACCTTCAGCTGTCTGTGTAATGGGATCACAAGGTCCTAGACTGGGGGCTAGAAGGAATTCCAGAGGCTGGGGGGGGGGGAACAGACAGACGGCTCTGCATTTACACTTCTACTACTACCTACATGCCAGGCACCAGGCTAAGCACCAGGGATTGGGAGAAGGGCAGACACAGCCCCCGCCCTCAGGAAGCTCACAGTCTGACAGGGTGTCAACAACACACACAGCTGTGTTTAACAAGAGGGAATCTGACAGAGCTTCCTGTCGAAGTGGGGACTTTAGCTGGGACCTGGTGGAGGGCAGGGAAGCCAGGGAGTGTCCCAGGCCTGGGGGCAGCCAGGAGGCCAATGACCCTGGATGCGGAGGATGCGGGGGTGAGGCGGGACTGGCAAGGCAGGAGGGGGCTAGGCCACGAAGAGCTTTGAGGGCCCCCCCAGCGTTTACTGAGCAGGGCTGCCACAGTCACACAGGTGCGATGGCCGAGGGAGGATGAGCCACTGCCCCTCACTGGCCTCCGTTTGCTCTTCATCTGTGAAGGGAGGCCAATTTCCTACTAAAAGCCTAGCAGCTTATCCAATCCCGACTCCCTCATCTTTGAGGACAAGAAAGCAGAGGCCCAGAGACACCAAGAGATTCTCCAAGGGCCACACAGGCAGCTTATCAAGAGAGCTGAGAGTCAAGCCTAGCCAGAGCTGCTGGGGAGAGGGTCTTCTCGTGCTCCCAGGACCCCTCACCTCTTCCTCCTGCTTCTTTTTCCACTTCTTGTCTGTAGCATCAGCATCTCCTTCTTCAGCGTCGCCATCGACGATCTGCTCCTCCCCTTCGTCGTCACCCTCCCGATCCTCCTGCAGTGGGTAAACGGACACTCTCAGGCCGGTGCTGTCCCAGAGAAAGGGCTCCACCTTCAGCACAAGCCCCGATCTTCCTTCCCCCGCCCACGCACCACACGTGTCCCCTCACACGGGCACACGGTTCCCTTATGAAAAGCAACATCAAGCACCCTCCTGAAAGCAATGCCCCTCCCCAACAAAGTGTGGGGAGATGACGCAGGGCGGAAAAAACCGCCTGCTCCAAACAGCCCTACGCGGAATGCCGTTCCTTTCCCCTTATCTGGGGAAGCCCATCAGCCAGCCACATTCCCCTGGGGATGAAAGCGTGTCCTGTTCTACGAGGCGCAGCCCCTTTCCCACGTGTCTGGGTGAGTCGGTGACCAGGCTCCTACCCTAAAGGGTGGCACCGACGTCCTTCCTACACACCGCTGCCCCTTCTGAGCTGGCACAGCACCACCAACCCAACCCCAGGCATGACTACGAAGAGTGACAAAGCCAGGCCTTGTCCTTCCTCTCAGCCCCCACCCTACAACATCTCTCCTCCCCTCCTGTGGCTCGGACACCCCTTTCAGCTAACCTGGACTCCTCGCTGCTCCCCACATCCCACATCTCATCCCCTGGATCTTCATGCCTAGAAGGCTTCTCTGCCTCTAATGGAGTCCTTCAAGGTTCAGCCTGTCTCGTTGGCTGATGCGCCGTTCAGTGTGTTCTCTGACCACCCCCCAAATGTCTCCACATCTATCTTTGCAGACACTGTTGATCTGCCATAGCACGGAAGGTCCTCGAGGATGGGGACCATCCCTGTACCCCAGTGATAGCACAGCACCTGATGCACAAGAGGCCCTATGCTAAGCACCAAACGAACAGGACTGAATCTCCCTCCTCTCTCTTCTGGCCAGCCCTGACTGTGGGCAGCTGAGAATTCCAGTCGGTCAGAGCTCAGAGCAGGCCCCTGCTCATGGGCTCTGACAGGGAGGAGGCACTGAAGGGCTCTGTGAGTCAGCTTCCCCCAGAGCTCTGCCTCAGATCGGTGTGGGGGGCTCCTTGGGGCTGCACGCCCCAGGTGGAGGCAGCTCCTCATTCTGGCTGAAGGAGATTCCCAGCCCTCCTACCAGATGTTTCTCCCAGGACCTACCCACTGACTCCTGCCTCGGCCAGAGCCTCGAGAGGGCTCTCTACCTACCCTGCTCCTCAGAAGGGCCTGCCCACTCACCCGACTTCCCGGCATCTCCCCACCGCCGTCCAGGTCCTGCTGAGTTGCCCTCCGAGTGCTCACGGCTTTAAAGGACGATGTCTTGCTGCTCTTCCTTTTGATGGCCTCCAGCAGGAGCTTAATGAACCTGAGCAGGAGAGGAAGCGTGCGGCCCGCAACCTTAGAGGGACGAGTCATTCTGCCGAGAAGCCCCACCTCTGCATGAATCCACAGCGTCCGTGGTCAGCCCTGACCCGGAGTCTAGAGTCAAGGGGCCACAAGCCCGGGCAAGGCTCCAACGGCCGGCATCCAAGCTATGCTGCCATCACTGTGGAGGGGCCCTCGTTAGGCGGAGCGGAACCAGCCCCTATGAGGAGTAAGGGCTGCGAGGGCGGGCCCTGAGTGCCAAGCCAGCCTCAGACCCTCCCGGCTCCTCCTCTACGCTGCCCTCCATTTCTCTGCTAGCATCTAAATGTCCTGTTCAGCTCTTCCAGACTTACCGCTTTTCTCTGCTGCAGCCTAACTGGCCTCCTCGTTATTCCTCATCCACCACCTCCAAACCTTGGCACAGGCTGTGCCCGCAGGCCTGGAATGTGGTCCTTCCCAACCTAATCCCCTTCCCTTCAAACTCCGGAATCCCTAATTTCCTCCAAAGCTCAGCCCAAGGGTCGCTTCCCATCATCCCCCAGACGTCAGCCATCATTCAGTAATACCCAATTCTTCACGACCCCATGGACCACAGCATGATAATCCTGTCCGCAGGGCTTTCTTGGCAAAGATACTGGAGTGGTTTGCCATTTCTTTCTCCGCTGAATTGAGACAAAACAGCGTTCACCGACGTGCCCACGATCACACAGCTAGTAAGAGCCTGAGGCAGCATCTGAACTCAGGTCTTCTTGATGCCGTACCCAGCACTCTATCCACTGTGCCACCCAGCTGAGTGATCCACCATTAGAGTAACCATTTTTGTGAGAGACACGGAAGCACAGACAGGGTGCTAGACATTCAGTCGTTGTTATGGGGCAAGTAAGTCACTTGGAGAAGGAGAAAGGAAGTGAATAAGCATGTACACAGTGCTGCCAGGGGCTTTTGCCTTATATAAATGACCTCATTGGATCCTCACAACAACCCGGAGAAGTGGGCTCAGCCTTAGCCTCTCTCTGACCCTCTCGGGGTCCAAGGAACCCCCTCCAACAGGGCAAGCGGGCCTCTTTCTAGTCTCAGAAGTTGCTTGGAGCACTGAGGTGACCCGCTGGGAGTCTCACAGGCCACCCTGGCCTCAAGGCCAGGTCTCTGTCCACAACGCATGCTGTCCCTCATGATACACACAAATGTTCAGCTGTCCTTATGACATATTTGAAAAAAAGGAATTACAGATCCTCTCCCTAGAGATAAAGGCTTATTAAGTTTCCCCCTGGCTTTGGGCATTGAGACAACTTTCAAGGATGAATAAGTGTTGGAAAGTGAGAAGAAGTGACACAAGAAGTGACACTCAGAGCCCAACTGCAGGCTTGCTGGGGGCGGCCTTGGAGGTACAGCCCTTTGCTGACAGCATCAGACACATCCCTCAAGCAGCTGGCAGGTCAAGGGACTGGTCTTGAATCTGCAAGTTTCTCCATTATTAATCACTGCTCTATTTTTTTTATAGCCACTAAGCTATTATCAATAACTTAGAGAAGCTTTTCAGGTTTTAAGTGCTTTAAAAAGATCATAAAAAGTTAAGAGTCAAAATGATATGCTTATCTCAAATCACAGCAAGGGAAAAAATTATGACAGGACAAGGCCAATAACTTAGATCTTACAAGAATAAAAAACTGTCAGCATGATGAAAGATAAGATAAAACTGAGATCAAAAGAGAAGCAAGAGACAGAAGAAAACGTGCATCATGAACAAACACATTTGAAAAAACGTTCAACCTCATGACCAGGGAAATGTAGATTACTCCCCAGACAACCCCTCCTCCACCACCACCATCGGTCCCATGGCCGCCATTGCTGTTGCCTCCAAACAGCCAGGTTGCCCCCACACTCCATTCTGAGGAAGTACCATGTACCTGGGCCAGCCGCGGCCACTTCTATTCTCACTTAACCTCTGACCCTCTGGACAACCTTCCTACTTTCTGGTTTCCCCTCTGCCTCTTTCATCTCCCTCTTATCGTTTTATCTTCTGTCTTCTCCCATTAGAAGAGAAGCTCCTTGAGGGCAGGGTCTGTCCCAGGAACAGCTATTTGTACTCCTAGGGCTTAACACAGTGTCTGACTCTGCATCTGTCTCTCGGTCTACCTCGGGCCATTCAGACTGGAAAGTGGTCCAGCAACAGGAATCATCAGATCAGTCCCAGATCTCCCTACGGAGAACACAACCCAAAGAAGTCATACAAAGGTGCTCCTTTGCTGTCCTGAAGCACGTTAGAACAGGATGGCCCATGCACCCCAAGAGGAGGAGGAAGTCTGGCAGATCAATGGGATGGGGATGATGCTGCCAATGAGACTAACGTGAACAATACAAAAATCAGAAAAATCTGTGAGAAATGGTGCAAAAGAGAGAAAAGCTGAATTCAGAGAACTTGTATGCATGTGACCACAGTTATTGTTGGCAAAACTGTGTATAAAAGCACGCTGGAATGCACAAGCATAAGGCCCAGCAGGGATAATGATTACTTACCGATAAATTGCTGACACACGTATGTTTATACATCATAGATGAGAGGATTTATATAAAAAGCCATTTGCAAACTTTACAGGATGATGTAAATTACAATTTTTACGACAGGGCAGTAGTGCCTTTCGTTATGTGTACATACATACATACACATACATACGTACATACACACATACATAAGATGAAACACAAATTTATAGGATGCAGAGCTGGACTTTGTCTCTGGTACTACTGAGGCATGGGCCTGCCTGAGCTCAGAGAGTGGCAGACTTGGTCTCTTCAACCAAGCTGAACAAACTTTTATTAAGCACATATGACATGCAAAGGACTATGCCAGGTGATGGGATGGAGATAAAAGAATGAAAAATGGTCCCTGCCCTCAAGGAATTTACCATGTGGCAAAGCATCTGAGCCCTGGAGGAAGAAAAGGACTCCAAGAGTGAAAGAGGGGCGGGGGTGGGGGGGGCATGGAAGGAGACTCTGCAATTCCACCAGGTTAATATCAGCAGAAGCCTGGGCTACACACACGTGAGTGAACATAAGGAATGAAATCAGCTTTGTAAGGATAAAATGACATGACCGGAACGAAGGGGTTACAAGCTCTCCCATGAACAATCCTAGATGGGCTGAGAGCCAGCAGTGGCTGTGCCCAATTACACTGAGCACCCCTGTAGGCCAGGCCTGGTGGGGCACAGAGGGGCAGTCTTTTATCTTCTAGGAGCAGGTGGCCTGGCAGAGAAGATGCACATGCAGTAATAGGCAGCCAGTGAGCACATGCCATGGTATACCAGAGAGGCAAAGTGATAAATGTCCGTTAAGTCCAATTAAGCTGAAAGGTGGCCCCCGAGGTCAAGGAAAGATGGGGAGCGCTTCCCATGGGACTTAGGACATCAGAGCTTGACCTGGACCTTGAAGCATGGGGTGGAGATGTGGTGGTCTTCATGGTGGGCAGAGACAATGAGAGGAGGTGGGAAAGCCTGGCATATATTTGGGAAATGGCAGTGTCATTTGGAAAGGTTAGCTGGAGCTACAAGGGGCATATGAGGAGGGGGGAGGCTTTGAGTTCCCTGGGGCACCCACAAAAGTTCTGCAAGCAGGTGAATGATAGGAACGGAGCTGTGTCTGGCCATGATGTCCAGGAGGAATGAGGGGAGGGTACAACAGAGACTAAAGGAAGATCAGTTTAGAAGCTCCTGCACAGGGACAGGTGAGAGACTGTGGGAACCTGACCTGGGAGAAGAGAAAGGGAAGAGGGAAAGCAACAGATGGATAGGTTTGGGGGAGTTTGGTCCGGAGATGCCCAAGTTAGAGACACCAGCCGGACGTCATGGCACAGCCGTCATGCAGGCAGCTGGAAACATGGGCCTGGAGCAAAGGCTCTGGAGAGTCATCAGCACAGAGGAGGCAGCTGGAGTCAGAGAGCAGAGACAGAGAGAGAGTAAATGACTGACAGAATACCTTGGGGACCCCCACATTTAGGTGGCAAAGGAGACAGGAGCAGAGCGGGGCAGGAGAACTAGGAAAGTCTAGTCTAACAGAAGTCAAGGGTAGAGAACATTTCAAGAAGGGGGAAGGGGTGCAGTCCATCAGTGTCAAATGCTGCCCAGAGGTCAGGAAGTCAAGGCTGGCTAGATCTGGTGGTTGGGAGGCCGCTGGCGTGGTTAAGGGAGCAGCTTTAGTACAGGAGTCACAGATAGCAGGGGCCAGAGTCCCAGGGCAGAAGGAACGAGTGAGTGGTCAGGATGTGGGGAATCCAGACCAGGAGGCTCCACCGGAGAATGCGGATTTAGAGTGGGAAGGGAACACTGAAGTGATTGAACATGGGGAAGCTGACAGGCAGTGAGGCCGAAGGGGTCACCAGGGAAGCCAGGGCCAGGGTTCAAACTCAGTCTGTGACTCCAAGCTCATCCCTCGGAGCCCTGCACCACATCCCCTCTGAAGGATGAATAAACAACATGCATGCTACCTCTCCAGGTGACTGTGGGTGATTGTTCAAATGCTTGATGGTGCAGCTGTGATTAGTAAAACACAAGCTCATTTACAAGCCAAAAAAGGGTAAGCCCCAGGTACTCGGAATAAAAGGAATTCTGGCGGCAGGCTGGGCTCCAAGACAAAGGCCCCTCCACAACAGGCAGCCAATCTAGTCTGGACTCAAGAGGCAGGGGCTGCAATGAGCAGAGGGAAGCAGGGTTACCAAGGAAGGCCCCTGGTTCTGGGTCCAAAGTCGGCCTCTGACAACCCTTCCCCAAGTGACTGGAGACAAGTCCCTTCAGCCAATGGGCCTCAGCTTCCTCCTCTATAACATGGGAAGAGAGAGGGAGGGGCTAGATGGCCCGAGGCCCCTCCCAGCTCTAGGTCTCCGATCCTAAGAACTACAGGGTTGGCCTGGGACTCAGGAAGACAAGTGGAGTCTGCCCCTCTCTGTGACCTTGGGCAAGGCTGCGGCAACTCTCCAAGGCAATCAGTAACAGAGGAGTAGCCTCTCTGTATCAGAAGAGGGAATACCTGCCCACACCACCAACTGCCCACGTGGATGAAATCACAGCTCCAGATGTACCTCCCCGCTCCCCACATCCCCTGAAATTCCAGACACTGTGTCAGGCACTGGGGATACAAAGGCCAAACTAAAAGTCCCTGCTTTAACGGGTAGAGAGGACATCCCCATCAGAAAGCACGGCACACATAAAGCACAGAGGACACAGGCTTAATCTGAATGTGCCCCATCTTGTACCCACCACGTATCACACGGAGACTTGTAAGCTAAGCCTCACGCATGTCAAGACCATGACGCCTGGGCTGGTCCGCGTGAACCTCCAAGGGGGAACTGCCATTTCTCTAAGAGGATTGGTGAGCATACTTTGATTTAGAGAGGCAGCTGCCACAACTGCCCCTTCCACGGACACTTTGTTCCCACTCTCAATACAAATCTGGGCTGGCATTACACTGGAGGACAGCAGGGAGGAAGCTGACTAATAGAATGAAAAACTGTGAATGTGAATACAGTAGGCACTTAATAAAAGCATCCTGACCGTTTCTTCAAAGGGCAAGGTGACCAGAGTTTTTCTCTTTGGTGCCAGAATTTGGCAGGCACATACAAAACTTTCAGTCCTTCAACTGCCTCCCAAACAACGGAGCTTAGCATCTGTTTAGCAAGAACACTCAGTTAAAGTAGGAAGCTCCCAGATGATCCGAGCCTTCCTCTTGGCCCACCCTCTTCCCAGCCCCAAGCTCCCAAGTGAGCCCCTCTCTAGCTTTCCACCCCCCACTCCCCAACAGTGAATGAACGAATCAATGAATAAGAAAAGAAACATGTATCAAGTAGTTACTGTGTTCCAGTAGGTGGGGATACACAAATAAAGGCAAAGGGATTTTTTAGCTTGGAAAGCCTCAAGCAGGGTAAGTGGAGCCCCAAGGCAACAAAATGTCAGAACACCCTTTCCAGAAGTAACGCTAACTCAATTAGGGGTCACGAACCGAGCAGAGGGTTATAGGTAGGGAACTGACTAGTGGGAAGACAGTTAGCTAATGGGCAGGGCATCAAGTGAGACACACAGCCGGCCCTCGGCTGCTCCTGGGAGCAACAGCTGCTCGTTATGTCAGTCCCTGGCGAACCACACTCACTGAGGCCTGGCAGGAAACAGCTTGCCAGCTTTACTCAACTTTACTAACAGCAGGGAGCCAACAGCTAGGTGATCAGACACTCTCCCACCCCAAGGATAAAATGGACCAAACCCAGCCAGACAGAGATGTCCAGCCAGACAGTAAATCAGCTCCTCCAATAACCAGAATGTCACATAAAGCTGATCCACACCCTCGGCCAAGAGAAGGAAGCCTATGCTCTCCCCCCCTCAGTTAGGCCTTTTTGACAAACAGAACAAGGTTGGTCCTTGTTAGGAACAGGTTGCGGGATTTCTCTTTAAATGACTGGCTTCAAGAGATTCCCAGAATTGCGATATTTGAACTTGAAGAAGAAAAAAAGGCTTAGAGTTAGTGGTGAGGGTCGGAAAGCCTCTCAAATCTTCAAATGTGGGAAGGGCTCTATGCTAACTGACCCCCAAGAGGCAGGATTAGAAGTAATGGTCAGAAGCCACAGCTAAGGAAGGCTGGTGCTCCTGACATGGCAGCCCTTAACAAGAGGTGTTTATATGGCAGGAGTCTTAAGGGAAAGTATTCTGCTTGGACGGTGCTATTCTGTAGGTCCCTCTGTCCTCTCCCCGACGCAATTACAGTGTGATGAGCTTTTGAGGACCTCACAAATTACTGAATATAATCCTCTCATTTTATAAAAGAGGAAACTGGGACCCAGAGAGGGAAGGTGACTAGCCCAGGGTCACACAGATAGTAACAGGGGCAGGATTTTGCCCCAGCTCCCAACTCCTCCTCTATTTCAGCTCATTCATCTTCCTCTGACACTGTGAGGAGGAGGCACAGGATAGGCCAGAGTTGGCTAGGCTCTGGGATAGGCATAAGAGGGGCTGAATTTGGATCTTGGCTTTGACTCTTCCTAACTGTGGTATCATGGGTAGGTCGTTCACCTCTTCTCCCTACCCCACTTCTCACGCCCTCCCCCCCGCCCCAAGATCACCTTCCTCGCATACGTGGTAGGTATCTCAGACAGTCACTTTTTTACCTTTCTTTGTGCCCTCACTGCTTGGCACAGTGCCAGGCATACAGGAAGAGCTCAATAAATGCTTGCTGACTAACTCTGAGAGTCAGTTTCTTCATCTGAGAAATGGGAGTAACATTTGCATTATCTCCTTTACAGAAAACTGTTTTTAGACAAGTGGTTTGCAAATCTTCCAAGCCATGTAAATGTGAATTATTAATATAATTATAAAAGAAAAGCAAAAGCAGCTGGAAATCTGACCTTGCTTCTACAAAATGCAGAATATCCTCAGGTCGCAGGTACTTCTCCTGCTGGTAATACTTGTAGGGGAGGAAATTAAAGCGAATGCAGTAAACTCGGTATTTGTCCTTTTTTTCTTCCATGCAGAAAGACTCCTGGACATCAACTTTCTGCAATACCTGCAACCACATCAAAAGAACACATGCTAAACTAGGCCTCTGGAGGAACTATAAGGGGGCGGCTGGTGTCACGGAGTCAACACCGACCACACTGGAGCCCTTCCCTCCCTCCCTTTCTGTGCTGCACGCACCAAGCACACCCAACAGCATCTGGAACCTCCACCACAGCTGGGCAGGAAGGGAAACCCTCTGCGAAGTAATTAATGTCCCAGGAGGGGAGAGAGTCATAGGACCTAGACCGGCAGCTTCGCTGTCCCACCTCAGAGTGCTGCCCTGGTTGGCCATGCTGCCAGGAGAGTTCTTCCTGCCTCTGAAGCCAGCTTTCTAGCTGCTAAGCCCCTCGCTGCCTCCTGACCAATCATTACTTAAGAAGCTAAACGTCCCCCGATAACTCAGTGTCTGCCTTTGGTAAGGGTGTAGCATTGTGGGAAAGCCAAGGCCAGGGTAGCAAAGCTGCCCAGGTCCACTCTCAGGATCAAGGAGAATAGCCTCCTCCCCAGCCCCCAGGAAGGTACCTCGCCTAAGCACACGCGGGTCAGCTGCTTCTTCAGGCTCCTGACCCTCTTCAAGGCCCTCTTGGTGTTGAGCACAGGCACACTCATCATGGGCGTCTTGATGTTCGAGCTGGCCACCATGAGGATCTCCCTCAATCTGAAAGAGAGGGTAAGGGCTTGGCCTGAGCACACTGTGGGATGCTGAGAGGACGTAAGGCGTCACTTCTGGGGGAGCGCCCCACTCTGTCTTCTTTCAGAACTTTGCTCAAGCGCCACCTTTTTCCTGAGGCCTTCTCTCATCCTCACCTTCCCACCCCGACCCCTCAAAAAAGGACCCTGTGCTTACATCGTACAGTCAGTCAATATGCATTTATTAAACACTCACTACCATCCGGGCAATCTGCTGAGTGCTTGGGATATAGAAACGGAGACCAAAAGGACCCTACCCTCAAGTAACTGACATTCCAGTACACTGGTGCATACACGGAGCTGGGGGAGGGGGCGGGGGGGAACCCGAGGGGAAGGGGGCAGAGAATTCCAGGCTGGGAATATGGGCAGGCCATCATTCCTGGATCACAGGGAGTGGAGTGAAATGTCAGAAGACTGGAAAGAGAGGAAAGGATGATGTCATGGAGGGTTTTCAATAAAGCCCAGGAGCTCCTAGTTGATTCTAAGGGTAACGGAGCCACTGAAGCTCACTGAGCAGGGAGGGAGGGAGGTGACCACGTCAGGAAAAGACCCTGGCAGCTGAGTGGAGGGACTGGAACGGGGACTCATCAGGGGACACGTCTCCTCAACAGAATCTAAGCTCCTAGAGGGCAGATAACAGCACGTGGCAGGTGACTAGGAGGTGCTTGTTCTGGTAGGTTCAAAGGCACTGGTCCCTAGACTCCACCCTCATCACCTTCGCCTCTGGGAATCCCTACCTTCCTTCAAGGCTCCTCCCAGTTGTTAGAGGATGCTTTGTATTTCCTGAGCTCTGTATTGTTTGCCCAAAGGCGAGGTCACCTCCAGAGGAGGCTGTACCATGGAGAGGAGCTTTGAGCTCCTTTGAGCCCTGGGCCACATGCCCACAGCCTAAATCCCATTCCAGCAAAGGTAAGGATGGCCCAGGTCTACAGATGTGAAAAAGCAGCCTTGGTCCCAGCTGATGCCAGTTAACGATATTCAGTCTAACAAAAGCACATCCCAACTCCTGGTCAGAGCGGGGGCGCTGGATGTTGGAGGCCAGGCCACCACTGGGAACCAGCCACCTCTGGCTGTATCTAGAGTGTACTGTTAGAGGGTATGGCCCATAATGGCACTGTCATCTCACCAAAAGCCCCAGCACACTGCTGTGTTTAGCAGATAAAGAATTAGAGACCCACCCTCAGTCACACAAAAAGAGAGAAACCAAAGAAACCACCCAGACCTCTCTTTCTCCCCATGAGGGGTGTGTAAGGTTACCTCCACCCTGCAGGAATTCCACTGGGACCACTTTCCCAAATGCACTCAAACGCAGATCAAGGTCATGGCAGCATAAGGAGTTTGCTTCCCCCCCCCCCATACCATAAAGTGGAGGTGCCCCAGGCCCCCTCCAGGACACCAGGCAGGGCCACAAGTCAAGTGATGGTGCTCACAAGCTCCAGAAGGCGGGGGAGCCTCAGTAGGGACAAAAGTCCCCTTACCTCCAGCCTCCTCTTATTCCCTTTGCTGAATGCCACCCACCTCTTACCTCGGAATTCCCAGTGTGACATTCATCTCTCCTCTGCCCGCAAAGTGGAAAGTGTTCAGGGTCATCTGTGTGGACGGTTCTCCGATGCTCTGGGCGGCCAGGAGGCCCACTGCTTCCCCCGGGTCACACAGTGCCCGTTGCCACTTCAGATGGAGCAAGGTCTTCAATCTGGGGCAAAGGGGACATGGGCAGTCAGGAGACAGACCCCAGAGTCAGCATCCCCCTGCCTTCGGTCCCAGAGGTAGAGCCTTTCTCCATACTGCACCATGGGCATGGAATGGACCCTGCGCTTCCTCAGTAATCACAAGCCCTCCTGTCTTTCCTGTTGCCCTCAAGACACTGTAAGGCACTGAGTCACTGAGGCTCCAGATGCCTGTGCAAGGACCCTGCTTGAGAATCCTTCATTTTCTTCAAAGGTCAGCTCAAGGACTGCCTCCCATCTCCCGCATGAGGCCCTTTCTGATCTACCCTTGCCCAGGTGCTAGGGCCTCCCCACCTGAAATTACCCTATAGTTTTGTTTTGTTTTGGCAAGGCTATTGGAGCTAAGTGACTTGTTTAGGGTCACACACACACACACACACACACACACACACAGAGCTAGTAAGTATCAAGGTCTGAGGCCAGATTCGAACTCAGGTCCTCCTGACTCCAGGGCCCATGCTCTATCCACTGTGCCTCCCAGCTGCCCCTCTAGTTTTTAGTTCACTTATAAGAGCACGCATGGTCTCTCCGGATAAGAATGGAAGATCCTTTAGGGCAGGGGTTAGCTCATTTTTGAGGTAGGATTAGGCACTTAATAACCCTGAAAATCTTGCCCATCTCCCTGGGCCACTTAGGAGATGCTGTCAACGTCTACCTTCCCAGAAGGACCTGGTCTAACAGCAGGGCTCAGGAACCAAAATGCAGCATTCCAACTTTACTCATCTGAACCGGACTCATTCAGAATTTGGGAAAACTTGGGCAGGGCAAGTTTTCAGGCTTCAAGTTTCAACTCAGGCCGAATGTACCGTCCACAAAGAGTGTGCTAAATGCATGAAAAGTAATTCAAGACCTGTCTGTTCTCTTAAGTTTAAACTAGTCTCAGGGCAGCAAGGTGGCACAGTTGATAGAACGCCGGTCCTAAAGTCAGGAGGATCCGAGTTCGAGTCCGGCCTCAGATCAAACACTTGACACGTACTAGCTGTGTGACCCTGGGCAAGTCACTTAACCCCAACTGTCCCCCCTCCCCAAAAAGTTTAAACTAGTCTGACCTAGAACCTGAGAAGCAGTCAATATACAAATTATCTTAATTACTTTGTCAAACTAGTTTCAGTGCACTAGTGTTGAGAAAGTTTTAAAAAAAATGTAAAGAGCTCATTTATAATCCAAATTTTTTCCTGGATCAGGTGAGGCTTGTTTGCAACTGGCTAAAACAACAGAGGTCTGAAAGCATCTGAATACACCTGAGAGACGGAACTGGAGCTGGTGCTTCCTCTACTGAGGGCATCTGTAGGCTTTCAGCCTGGTGGACTTCTCTGCTTTGAAAAGGACTGGCTCCAGGGATCCCTGGGGAAGGCAGCTAATGGGCTCTTCACAGAACCAATGGATCTCTGCCTTGTTTCCAGGAAATGAGCTAGCTGCAAACTGAACTGCGCTGCTCCCTCTGGCCCCTGGGGGAGATGAAGAAGCCAGGTGCAAAGGCCACAGGCCCCTAAAGTACCATGGGCCCCTCCAGCACCACAGGCCTAGAGAAGGAAAGATTCTCGGGGAGCAGAAAAAAGAGAAGCAAAGAGAGCAGGCTGTCGGCTTCACACTGGCAGCTGTGTCCTAGAAACCACTGCTCCTTATGATACCTGCTAAGTCTTGGCAAATCTGTGATCCTATGACCCCTAAACTGAATGTTCTTACGGACAAGCCTCTGGAGAGGTAACACAATAAAACTGTAATGGTCGGTTACGATAGGCAGCTGTTTTATGACATATTCCCATGAGGGGTGCAGAAACGTCTTTGGTCTAACCCAAACGCCTCTTGAAGCATCTTATGACTTCCGTTCATTGGAAAACCAGCCAGGCACATGAGAAGAGCTAGAGCCGACCTTCAAATCAGGAATACCTGGTGTCAGGTCCTGCCTTTGTGACCCCAGACAAAGCCATCAGATGACTCTGTCAGACCACTAACGGCAGAGAAGATGCCAGACTGCAGTGGTGGAGGGAGCCTCCCTGCATCAATGAAATCAGAGAATTGTTCCAAAAAGAATGCTCACCTAAGGAAGATGCCTCACCACCATTTTCCCTCTCTTCTCCATTACCTAGATGAAGAGGGGAATGGAAGACCCCTTGGCTATGTCAGGCCTACGCTGAGTTCATTATATTGTCAGCTCTCTGGGCCTCTCCAAATTCTTCCAGCCCACATCAGCTGCAAGGACCCAAATACTGGACCTTTTCTGGAGGAAGGCACGATCACCAAGTTCCTACGAGTTCCTTGTTTTCAGCTGAGGAAGGGAGGTGATGGGCAGGTAACAAAGGCGGCACGTGGCTTCCTGGGGTCAGAGCCACAGGCTCTGCTCAGTTACGTTTCTGACTACATCTCAGTACTGGGCTCCAGGGGAATCCAGAGCCCCACTCACTAGCATCTCCTCCAGACCCCTGTGCTCAGAGGACTGACACAGAGGACCCCAGCTCTCTCGGATCTTCATGCAGGAAGACTCCCTTGATCCCCCTCACTCCACCCTAGCCCCTCCCCTGATCCACTCCCAAACTGTTACCTATCAAGAGAAAGCTCTGATTTTTCATAGCTTCTCTCAGCCTGAGCCGCCCACTCCTGGGCATATGCGTCAACTTGGTTTTCAAATGTTTCTGACACAGATGCAAAGTGGATATCTGGACGCCAGACGCCCAGGCTGGGATCAGGGCAGGGGAGGGCTCTCTTCACATACTTCCTCCGGCTCTTCTCATCTAACTCAGACCACATTTTTAAAATCTGCAACAGAGAACAGATTATAAAGCCACTGTCCAAATGGCAACCCCCAGGGACCACTGCTTGGAGAATTCATGCACCCATCTCAAGGCCCTATCCTCAATGCCCCACCAAGGTAGGATCACCCATTCATTTCCACCTTCTCTACAACGAATGAAAAGGCAGCTCGGTGGGACAAAGGCCTAGTGCCGACTCTACACTCCCTCACTGTGCGATGGGGGGCGCAAGTTCCAGCACCCCTCCAGGCCACCGTGCCTCCACTAGAAGAGTGGGATTCATAACATCTGCCCTCGCTTCCTCTGGGGTTAGTGTGAGTATCCCAGAATGCCAAAGTTGGGGGGGAGCCTCAAAGGCCAAATCCGCTCCACACCTGACCAAGGCTCCCCTCTATAACCAGAACGCGCGCACGTGTGTGTGTGTGTGTGATACAAATATCTTCCCGCCCATCCCATCTTTGCAAATCTGTTGGGAAGTTTTCCCTTGCAACAGGAGGACGTTAAATGCAAACAGGTAGTGTGACTGTAAAACTCTCTATAAACCTAAACTACCATTACAACAATTTTTAACATTCAGGTGATCATGTTGTTAGAATCCAGCCCCAAACCCTGGGAAGCAGACAGGTGGCGTTTAGGGGCAGACTGCCCTCCCAGGGCCTCAGTCTCTCCATCTGTAAACCAGGGCTTGGACCAGCTGGCCTTGCAGAGCTGGCCAGTCTGTGTGCGGGCCCCCCAAAGGCTGCATGGGGGCTGCTCACCTCCTGCGCACTGGGGTCCCGGCCATTTTGGCTCCCCCCAGGGAGGTTCAGGGAGCGGACGGCCGCCTGTACTTTCTGGGAATAGCTCAGAAAGGCCCCGTGTCTGGGGCAGGTGGGAGGATGCCTGGCCCGCCACTTCCTGAGGGCTCTGAAGTGCTGCTGGGCCTGCGTGGGGTCCATCCTGGACAAAACTTCATCCAGATGCTTTGATTTCCGTATTGCCTAGAAAAGCAAGCCCAGTGAACCAAAATGTGATAGCCCCTGGACCACCACCAGTGACCCCCCCCCCAGATGTTTTACAGGCCTTTAGGCCTCTGACTCCCACCAGGTAACAGAATGAAAGCTGGAGATGGACCCAGGACCCGAGTTCGAATTCAGCTCTGCCCCTGACGACATGGGAAGGTTGTGGAAGGACCACTGGCCCCTAGAGTCGGAGGACAAGGGCTCGGGTCCCCCCTCTCTGACACATCCCAGTTTCCATGGCTTGGACTAGCTGATCTCTGAGGTCCTGTCCTATGCCCATGGTACTGAAAGGTACTTCTCGGTGCCTGCCTCCAAAGCTGGGATGCTCTCCCTCGCCACCCCCACTCTTCAGAGAGCTCAGCTTCAGGACCCCTCTTCCATGAGGCCTTTCCTGACTTGCCCCCCAGCCCCACCCCCACCACCTCCTATTTGTTTTGCAGGTACTCCTGTGCACCTGGTGTCTCCTGGAGCAGCCCAGCACAGTGCCAGGAACATAGGCGGTACCTAATAACCACTGGCTGAGTGAGTCCGTAACAGAGGTTGCCGGGGCTGAGTACCTGGCGGAGCCTGCCGCACACCCTCACTGCTAGCCCTTCCTGGGGGCAAAAACGCTTCCTGGCCCACTGCCCAAACTAGCTGGGAGGGGGGTGGGCCCAGCCACAGAGGAGAGGCAGGGATGGCACGGAAGTCACTCCTGCAGCGGGATGTCTCCAAGAATCCCTGGCCAGGCCTGAAGAGGGAAGGTGAGGAGTGAGGGGCAGGCGAGACCTCCCATGGGGACATTCCTTCCTCACTTTCAGGCAGCGGGCCGGCCTGGGAAAAGCACCTGACTCAGTCAGCGGCCGCGGTGCTGCCATTATGCGGGTGCCCATGCCTTGCACAGAAAGCTGGGCTGGGAGTCAGGAGAGATGCAGCTGAACCTTGCCTCGGACAAGTCTACCACTCAAATCAGGCAGCATTTATTCAGCACTTCCTGTGTGCCGGGCACTGGGCTAGGTGCTGTGGATACAAAGGAAGGGGAAACAGTGCCTGCCCTCAAGGAGCTCCCAGTCTAGCAGGAAGACAATGCAAACAGCTGCATACAAATGGGGCAGATGGGATAAACGGCCCCGGGGAGGGGGGCAGCTTCAGAGGGAAGGCAGAAAGAGCAAGGAGGACAGAGAAAAGCTTCCTGTGGAAGGTGGCACTTCTTAGGAGCCGTGTGACCAAGCCATTTGATAAATCAAACATCTATAAAATGGGGACAATTGTAGGGAAAGCAGTTTACAAGGACAGTATTTTGGAAATTTAAGCATGGGGATAAAAACTATTTTTTTGCCTCAAAGAATTGTCATGAGCATCAAGTCAAGGGAAGGAAAAGTAAGGGCATAAGCACCTATATAGCACCTACTATGGGCCAGGGACTGTGTGAAATAAATACTTTCAAACTCATCTGATCCTCACAACAACCCCAGAAGGTAGCTGCTGTGATCCCCATTTTACAGTGGGCAAACAGAGGCTAAGTGACTCGCCCAGGGTCACATGGCTAGAAGTGCCTGAGGCTGCACTGAACTCAGGTCCTCCCGACTCCAGGCCCGGAGCTCTAACCACTGCCCCGCCTACAGTTGTCATGTACAGCTATATCTATGAATACAGGTAGATGTAGAGAGATAGAAAACAACCCTCTGAAACATTTAAGGTGCCACACACAGATGCAGCGTGTGACTACTGCCATCATCCTAGGATGCGGTCTCTTCTGTTACCAACCTGGCCCAGAGACAATGAGGCAGAGGGTCCTGCATCTGCAGTCAAAGGCCCTGGGTTTGACACTTGGCTCCGTCACTGACTACCTGGGTGGCCTTGGGCAGGGGGCTCCACCTCTCTGGGCCTTGGATCATCCCAAGATCCTTCTAGCTACAAGATGTGGGACCCGCTAAGTCAATGACTCAGGGGACCCGAGTGTCCAGCCACCTCCTTTTACAGACAAGAGGGACTGTCAATAACGCAGCCGCCTTCCTCTTTCCCTGATCAGAGACACGCAATTCCCATTCTTCTCCCTACTGCATCCCAAGGTGATGGAAACCCCTCTACCTCGTAGTTGCTGAGGAGGAAAGGAAACTGCTTGGGCTGCAGGAACTGCGTCTTGGGGATATCCAGCCCATCCTCTCCGTACAGGAACTGGACCACGCTGCCGTCGCTGTCGCGCACGGTGAGATCATACTGAACCACTAGCCCTTCCAGGTGTTTGATGATGCACCTGCCAACAGAGGCGTGCTCAGGCCTGGCCCAGGAGACCAGAGGGAAGAGGCGGGTACTCTGGTGGAGGGACTCTGAACATGCCTTTGGTCTCCAGGGAGCACTGGGGGCGCTAGGAAGGAAAATGGGCTGCACCAGAGGTGCTGTGGCGATCAGTCTGCTGAAGCTCTAAATCAGGTTATATGTATACATATTACAAAGGAAATGCTCAATTAAATGATGGAGGGGATGGACTCAGAAAAACCTGGGAAGACTTGTATGAACTGATGAAGGACTAGGATTTATAAAATATACATAATTTATCAATATACCATGTATCAATTAGCTATATAAACCTATAACTGTATATGAATGTATGATTTGTTAATATATAAGTACATACAATTTACAAAATAAAAGCTGTATTGCAAAGAGAAACAACTTTAAAACCTTAGGGATTCTGATCGACACAATGACTCCCCACAATCCCAGAGGATTAATGCAAACATGTTGCCCACCTCCAGGCAGAGGTGATAGACTCTGGGGAGGGTACAGACGAAGACACTTTTGGGAGCCGATTGTTTTACCTACAAATTGACACTTACTAACCAGACTTTTGTCTGGGGGAGGGGAAGAAGAGGGCAGGAGGAACGGAAAGCAAAATTTTAATTAAAAAATCAAACCAACCTTGTCCTAGCATGTCCTGCCCAACAGCATGAGACACATCGTCTCCTAGCACAGGCCAACTGGGCTGCCTTGCCACCCCTGCAGGGCCCACGCTGACCTCCAGCACTCTTCCAGGAGGGGAGCACCAGGAGCCGCAGCTGCCAGCGGCCAGATGTGCAGCCCCCACCCCATCACAGCTGCTGAGGAAGCTGCCTGCTCATTCGTGCTTCTCCAGGGACCAACGTTCTCTGGATCAACAAGAGATTCGGGGCAAGGCAGCCATTTCTCTGCTCTGGTGAGTCCTAAACTTTTCTAATCTGGCTCGGCCCTCATCTGCTGTCTGCTCTGGAGTGACTGGGATGCACAGCCCTTTCTCTGGGAAACTCTGCCCTTCCCCAGCCTCAGAGAGATTTGCTGGGGATCCCCTGCAGGTCTCAGACTCCTGTGGGCGTCACCTGTGGCCTTCTCTTCCTTGTCCTGCCAACCAAGTCCTAACCTCTGCTCCTCTGGCCCTGTGCTGTTCTCTCCCTGGAGAGCTCAGACTACATGGGCACATTTCTATCAGGCTGTCTGTCCTCTTGTTATCTCAAACAATGCCAAATTCATCCTGTCCTGGCAAACTATCCCCTCCGCTGTCCTCGTCTGTGTCAACAACGCCATCATCCTGTGGTTTCTCCCGTTCTCTTGACCCTCAAGTTAAATCAGCGCCAAGAACAAACTGGTTCTTTCTCCACAACCCTCTCAGCCCCAGGCTCTGTCCCCCCAGCGTATGCTAGGTACCACAAGATCAGTCTTCCCAAACCACTGCTTCTGCCACCTCTCCTCTGTTCCAAGCCTGACATTTAAGGCCTGCCACAGTCTCAAGTCTGGGGTGGACTAGAGAGGGGACAAAACAGTTCATAAATCATAGCTTTTTTACAGTTGGAAACAGTCTGGAGATGTTCCACGTCTAACGCCTTGTGTTACAGAGAGATTAAGTGACTTGGCTGATATCTTGGAGTGAGTGTTTGTATTTCTGAGGTTTAAGAATATCTGGGTGTCTACGAGTGAGTCTACGTGGGTGTGGGTCAGAACAGCGGGGTGGCTGGGGATGCTGAGATCTTCCCGGAGGCAGGAAACCAGTTAGCTATTGCAGTAGCCCAGGGAAAGAAGAGGAGAGCCTGGACCGAGCAACAGAGCTGGCAGACGGAAGAGATGTCGTGTAAGCCCTGCCAACTCATGGGGCAGACGAGAGGGGCAGGAGGGGCCCAAAGACAACCCCTCTCTCTGACTCCAGAGATGGCTGACAGAGGTGAGGGTGGCAGAGGCAAAGTTTTAGAGGAAGGTACAGGACAGCTTGCCTGACCAGCCCCAATCCCCAGGTACCTGTCTGGTCCCCGCTCTCAGGGGCCACCCATCTGGCTCAGCACACCATGACCACTACACAATTAGCTGGCCCGTCAGGTCTGTGTCCTATCTGTCTAATCAGACTACGAGGCCTGTGGAGTCTAATTTGAAAGTGTAAATGAAGACTTGGGTGTGTTTAAAAACAAATGGGATGGAGAACCGAAGGCTTATCAATAACAATGGGCTCCGATGAAACATACTGTCCACCTCCAGAGAGATCTCTCGGACACAGACAGCAGGGAACTTTTTCTCTTTCTCTCTGAACGTGGCTAATGCGGATGCTGGTTTTGCATGCCTAAAAGTATTTGTAATGGCTTCTGTTGTTTTTGCCTTCGTGAAGGAAGGGGAAGGGAAAAGGGAGGGGGAGAGAGAGAGAATCTGGAACTCAAATTAAAATACAACTGAATATCAAAACTAAAAAGTAAAATAAAATTGAGCTAAAATTTTTAAAAAGGAAAAGTAAACAAAGAGGTGGGTGTTCAGAGTGTGGGCCTTAGGCTTCTCCTTCCTTTTCCAGCTGCCGGGGAGGGGATCCCTGAGGACCAATGCGGGCCCAGCACCACCCCTGGGACACAAACCTGAGCCCCCCAGGAGGCCTCATGGCATCACGGCTGAATGGAGATGCTCTCTGCTCTTTCCTGTTGCCCCCAACCTGTTCAAACAGCCACATTGCTGAGGGCTCTGCAGTCTTTAAACACACTGGGTTCAAGGGACTCCGTAAAGGGCTGAGTCTCCCACATGGCCTGATTCTCTTAGGGTCCTCCTCCAAAGAGGGAAGCCACTTCCCATAACCCACAGCACTGGCTCCCCCAGGCTTGGGGAGAGCAAGGGGAGAAAGGGCTGATGCCAGAGTCCTACCCACAATGCAGCACGTCCAAGAGCCAGCCTGGGCTGCCAAGGTCACACGAACCCTGGGCTGCCCCTTCCTCTGGCAGCAGAACTGGAGGCAGGCCAGCCAGGGCTTCAGCCTAAAGAGCAGCGAACGCTGAGACAACAGCATGGAGAGTGGTCACCGAGTGTGGGCAGGGCTCAGGCTTAGCTCCTTCTCTGTGGGGAAACCAGCGCTGTGGGTCAGGAGAAGTGACTTCCCTCCCACTGGGAGAGAGCATCGCCCAACTTAGAGACCACGGAGTCAAGAGCACAGGATTGGTAGGAGGAGACCTCAGCCTGCCTGAGTTAATTAAACAGGCAATCTACAGCCACAGCACGCTGACAAAGCCCATCATTCTACCTTTCCGTATGCTTACAGTCTTCAGAGGACACAGGAGACCACACAGATGTGCTCTGAGTTCCTGGTTATTCCATGTGAGGCCCTTGGAGGTTTACAAAGTGGACTCTCTTCCGACCACCAATCTGGGAGGGAGGGAGCCCACAGCTGGAAGACTCAGGCTCAGAGGGGTTAGATGATTTACCCATGCTCATACAGCTATGATGGCCAGATGGTCGTGGGCGTCAATCTCCCACTGAAATGACGTGATGCTGTAAGTGTCTGAGCAGGGACTCAAACCGGGCCTCTTCTGACTAAGTCCTGGGATCCTCCCCAAGGCCATGAGTCAGTTTTCTAATTCCTTCACAGCCAGAGGAGAAGGTGCCCCGTTTTGTTCTCTTACCTCTGCAGGTATCCTGATCGACTTGTTTTGACAGCTGTATCTACCAGACCTTCTCTCCCTGCCATGCAGTGAAAGAAGAATTCCTACAGGAAAAGAAGGGTAATGGTCACGAACATTACAATGAGCTCATCTCCACGAGCAGGGATGGGCCGACACGGGGTCTTCCATGACCTCTGGCCAGGGCCTGCCCTACCGCAGGTAGACAGCTGGCTGGGACCACAGAACAGGCTGTGGTCATGAAATGGAGCCAAGGGACCCCACCCTTGGCTCTGCTGGATATAAGTGGACATAGCTATAAAGGTCATCATTCCAGCCAAACACGAATCCAGGGAAAAACCACCAGCCACCCAAAGTCCATAGGTGGAAACGATCCTCCTGGCTTCACCATGGACTGGGTCACAGCAGAAGGTGAAAGGGTGACATAGGCAGGGCAAAGACAAACCTGATCTACCATGAAAGCTGGCCAAGGGCCAGCCCTGGGAGCTCCGCTTTTCTTTCTGTATGGCTCAGAAGGAAGGGGCTCCCACAGTCCCTCACACCCACCTCTTGGTCCTACCAGTTGGTAGGAACAGGCTGAGAGGGTAGTTTAACCTGTGTCTGTAGTGATGACCAAATGTTCTTCACTACTACTGACCTTTCCCTTAGACAGCATCATGAAGGTGCATCGCCAACAATCCGAGGGCTTTTCTCTTGATAATGGGGAGAAGCATTCCCTTCACCAGCCAGCATTTTAACCCATCCCACCTGTTCACCAAAGGGACTTTAAACAAAGGGGCCACTAACACCCTGCAATCTTTTAGCTTACTGCTCACACTTGGAATCCTCTCAGCACATACCCATTCAAGCAGGGAGTCAGTCACCCATTGCATGAAAGGTACAAAGAACAGGGAGGAAACAGAAACCTGAAAGCACCTACGGGAGGCCTGATGCCTGTGAGGAATCTGCCAGTGACGAAGCCTCCAGACCGAGGAGTGACTTCGTAAGGTTGGAAGCAGGGCAGTGACTTCCCAGATGGCATCAGTGGGGGCCTTCTCCCTTCCAGCTCAATCTGACCGAGCAGACAGGAAATCTGTGGGGCACAAGCAAAGCCAGGGACGTGAGACATGTGACAGAGCTGAAAAGGGAAGACAAGGCCTTCTGAGAACCGTCGCAGAACCCCCAGGTGTGTGGCACCATGCCAATGGAGATGGTGTCAAGCGAGTAGGAAAGTGTGAGCTTGGAGAAGCCCTGGTGTCAGACCTGCATCGTGTTGACGGTCGATCCTTTGGCTCCGGATTGTACCATCATCTGCAGGTTGTTCTCTGGGAACCCTCTGTGGAGTCCGAAGGGCATGCATGCCTAGGCAGGGTAAAGAGACAGTCAGGGCAACCCAAGACAAATAAAGAAAACATAAGCCCCAGGCCTAGTCAACACTCCCAACCCATGCTGGGGGACGCTGACTGCTTTCCTCCCTAGTGAGTCTTACCAGAGCTACGAACAACAAGGCTAGCTGGGGTCTCTGAGACCAGGGTCCCCTCTGTCCTGCACCAGCCAGAAAGCAGCCAAAGGAAAAGGGAGGAGGAGAATAAAAAGAGGGCATGCTGAGGGTGGGCTGGTCAAAAGGCCCAGCAGGTGAAACTCAGGGCAACATATGGCCGGCCAGCTGTGGCTGCAAAGCCACCCACTCCAAATGGCTTCCTCCATTCCCAAGGCCATTTTGCTCCACCCTCCTTATCACCTAGACTCTAGCTTGTGGGTGTGTGTGTGTGTGTGTGTGTGTGTGTATACACAGATATAGATGTAGCTATATGTGCTTATGTATATATGTATGTGTGTACGCATGTAGATATAGACACATGTTTCCATACATATGTGTAAAGTTGTGTGGCTGTGCACACAGACATAGATATAGACTATGTGTTTGTTTTTATGGACATAGATGTGGGTGTGGAGGTGGGTGTGTACATATACAACCAAGTGTAACCATTTCATTTGCTAATTAATAAAGACAATAAAGAAGTACATTCATTAATGGAAAAGTGAAGAGGGGAACAGAACCAGGAGAACACTGTAGGCAGTATCAGCAGCACTGTGCAATGATCAGCTATGAATGTCTTTTCCATTCCCAGCAATACAATGATCTAAGACAATTCCAAAGTACTCATCCACCTCCAGAGAAAGAACTGATGGAGTCTGAATGCAGACTGAAGCACACTATTCTCTTTTTTTCATAGTTTTCTCCTTTTTTTCCTGTTTCTTCTTATACAACACAACTAATATGGAAATACATTTTACACGATTGCACATATATAACCTTTATCAAACTGCTTAACATTTTCGGAAGGGAGAAGGAGAAAAATTTGGAACTTAATATTTTTTAAAAAATGAATGTTAAAAATTGGAAAAAATAAAATACTACTGAAAAAGAAAGGAAAGAAAAGTGGAGGGGGGAAAGACTAAGTATATCTGCACAGTGGCCTAGGGGAGAAGCCACCTCAGTCCCACACACTAATTTCTAACAAGCAAACTCCCACACTAAGGACCCCCCTAGGTAGCACCCAGTGATGGCTTTCCCAAAGTGATGGTGTAGGCTTGTGCCTGAGCTGAAGGCATTACCTAGGGAAGAAGTCGAGGCCTGAGGCCTAAGGTTACAGTAAATCCACATTCAAATTCTAGCAAAACAAAGGAACAAAGCCAGGGAAAGATCTGAGGAGTTAGGCTCCAGATAACATTTGGAGGGTCAGCTGAGGAGGATACTAGAAGTTCTGAAAAACACTGTGATCCCAGCCCATAATCAGCTTTTCAAGGAGATGAACACTCCTGCTCCTCCAGCCAAAAATCTCCCATATACAGCCTGAAATCCCTTTACTGGAAGGGCTGGAAGCCTCTCAGACACGGAAAAGGAAGCCAGAAAGGGAGGTCCTGGGGGGTTAACTGTGGATTAACTGATTAAGATGATAGACTCAGCCTGGATCCCATACCCTGAAGCCCCAAGACAGGGTGTCCAAGCTCAGAGCAAAGGCTTCTCCCAGGCCGAGCTTGCCCCCACACCTGACGCTGCAGGACACGCCCCCTTTTTCTTCAGTCTCTCATCTGCCTGGCAAAGTAGCCTGGGAAGCCCTGGAAGCGATGAGGCCCAGGGCAGGTGGTGCCAAGTGCCTTTGGAGGACTGTGAAGCCAAAGGCGTGGCAGCTCATGTCACAGGCCTCTACACAGGCATGCATTTTACTCAGGTATCTGCTAATTAATTTGCCAAAAGAACCCTCAGAATCCACCAGTGAAATGAGATCAATGAACAAAAAGACTTCCCCCACAGACTGCTGATAACTGTTTCAGGGCTCCCAGCTTCCTACAGGAAGCCTTTTCGAATCCCCCCGCTAGTGGTCTCGCCTCATCTCCTTCCTCCTCCTCCTCCTCCTATCTTACCGATGATGCCCCTGGCAGAACTCAAGCAAGGGGCTCTTCTGCCTTTGTGACCCCAGCTCCAGCACACAGTGGCCAGCACATAGCAGGCACCTAATAAATGCTACAAACGAAGAAAACTCCTTTCTGAGTCTGGCCGGCCAAGCCGAGGGACCCTGGCGGATGAAGAAAACTCCTTTCTGAGTCTGACCGGCCAAGCCGAGGGACCCTGGGGGACGAATAAAACTCCTTTCTGAGTCTGGCCGGCCAAGCCAAGGGACCCTAACGCCATCCTGGCCATCTCTGCGGACCACAGCGGGCGAGGAGGGGGCCTACACTAACCTTGTTAATCTCATTGCTGTAATGATTCACTTCCTCCTTGAACTTGAGATCGACCATGTTAAAGTCCCTCTGGTCTTTGTTGAGATGGGCATCCTGCCACTTGGTTTGCACGTCCTCGCATGACGCCAGGTCAGGGAGATTAAAGGCGGCCCTGACGGCCTGCAGTGAGAGAAGCAGATGGGTCAGTCCTACGTGTGTGCAGGGAAAGGGCAACTGGCGTGAACCCCCCGCCCTCCTAAAGCCCACCTTACCCGGGAGCCGCAGTGAGAGGATTCTTCTATGACCGCCTGCCTCTTGGCATCTGCCAGGGGTCTGACCAGAATGTCTTCCACACCTACAGGGTAAAGTGGACAAAGAGAGGGTGGGGAAGAGTGTAACTGAGGGGTTGGTTCAAGGGTGCAGGCATTGGGTTAAGTGCTGGGGACACACACATAAGCAGATGTGACAGTTCCTGCTCTCAAGGGATGCACCTTCTAATGTGGGAAGAAAACTGAAAAAGGGGAGCAGGAGGCTAGGCCGGGGACCAAGGTGGCGGCCAGGGTGAAGGCCACCAAGGAGCCTGGCTCTAGATAAGGTGAGAGGCAGACCTGCGGCAGCCCACCTCACGCCCATTCACAGATGGGATATCCCTTGTCCCCTTCTGAGGGAGAAGGGCTTGTTGCTATGGAAGCAGGAGGGGTGCCAGGGCACAGGAGAAACCATCAGGCCTCAAAAAAGGTGAGTGGATCCTTGACCACACACCACCCACTGCATTTCCTGCCTCCAATACAAACACTACCAACAAACCACACACAAGGGCCCCATTGCTGGCTCTGAGCTGGGAGGCAAACAAAACCTCTTGTGTGTGGAAAAATTATGTCTCAAATTATTCAAAGAAGTTCCTGGGAACCCGAAGGCCCCAAGTGAGTCAAGGTGCAAAGAAGCATCTCATTGGCTGGAGAAGATCTGGGTCCCTCTAATGAGGTGGGTGTTAGGTGACTTGGACTGACTTTTCACAAACACTCTCTGAAGTCAACCAAGATGGCTAAAGACCCCACCCCACACCCTCCTCCAACACACTGGAACCCCGTCTCTGCTTCTTGGCCTCTCCTATGTGGACAGGCCAGCAGAACTAGAGTTCAAGGAGCCAACTCTCCTGAGCCACCCACCAATCAAACAGGAAGGGGCTGAGCAACCCACAAACTAAAGACCAAGGGGCCAGCCCGGGAACCGAGCCCCCCACTAACTACGAAGGGGCCGAGCCACCTGCCAACTACCGGTGAAGGGCCCACTTCTATGATCCAGCCTGGGCCTTACCCAGGGTGAAGCCCTTGTAGAGCTGCAGGTAGGCCGTGAAGAGGCGAGCCAGGCACGTGAGCACTTGGCCGCTTGTCTCCCCGCCATAGACTTCATAACAGCAGTGGACCAGGCCGTAGGCAGAGCTGCCATAGTGGGCCTTGTCCAAGACCCCACAGAGCAGCTCCCCTTCTCTGATGATGACCTACAAGGAAGAAGGGGGGGAAGGCAATGAACCTCCTGGTGACGATGCCACATCATGTAGGCAACTCACAAAACGGAGGGAGACTCCTCTACCAACTCAGATGGCCACCAGCTCCCCAACACGGTCTTTGAGCTAGAGTGGCCCAGGCACCAAGAGGTTCACTACCGCCTGTGTGTGTCGGACGAGGGCCTTCCAGCTGGGTGTTCCCAATGCCAAGGCCACCTCTCTACCCACGATGCCACAGTTACCTCCTAACCTCTCCTACGTACTTCACCTTCCCACTCCCCAGCACACGTGCGCACACACACACACATGCACACATAGCCTTCCCCTCCAATAACCGCCACGTAGATCTTCCATGTACTTAGAGGCGTACACGTTGTCTCCCCAGAGAGGGTAAACACTTCACGGCTTTTGGGCCCAAACTCTCCTTTTCCCCTCAGCAATCACTGCCTGGTTTTGCACTTGTCTGCGGTCCGTCCTCTTTTGTTTCTCATCAACCTGCTCCAAATGAGGCCTTGCCCCTAGGCCTGGAGAAATGACACCAGCCACAAACGTACCTGGGACTCGCACATAGCATCCAGGCCACACGCTGGTGCAGCTCGGGCGCTCTGCTTGATCCAGGCTTTCCCGCTGATTTTTGCCTTCCCAATCAAATTCAAGGGGATGTGGTTCTCTGGGATTATGTTTATCAGCAACGTGGAGACAACCTGTAGAGAAGCAAAGACAGCCCAAATGCATGATGAAGTTTCGTGGCCCCTTTCCCACATATCGAGGACAGATGGTAACAGGAAACAAAGGGAAAATTAGGATGTAAGACTCTTGAGACGGCTTCACTCCTGCGGGGCCCCCGGTGTCCTCCACGGAAAAGGCTCGGATCACTCTGGCCTTCACTCCCGGCACCTCTCTGTACACTCAGCCGGGCTCACTTCTCATTGTAGTCACACTCCAAAACACAATTTTGGAGACAGAACAAAAACAGAAAGAGGGTATGTCACGAAACATGGCACAAGAGAGGCCAAAGGCTTGTAGAAGTCTCATGTCTGCAGGTCACGACACCTCCTTTGAGAGAAGGACTGGCAGCCACTAGATGTGGGAACCCCAAAAACACAACAAAACCTGAAACTGATTCTGTTTTAACAGGCAAGAAATGGGCTGTCCATGATCCGGGAGTCTTTTCTGAACCAACTGTTTGTGTACAGTCAAGAACACGGACTTGTCAGAGCAAAGACCAAAGTTGATAAGAAACTAGAAGAGCAGGAATGAGAAAAAGACATGGCATGCAATTAAGCTCCAAAGGAACCTATTTAAATGATGTTTTGATGCCTGCCCCATGGGAAATAGGACAGACACTGGCACACTTTAACTATTTCTTAAAGAAATTTTAAAACTGCTAGGAAAGCTGGAAATCAGTCTGGCAGAAATTAGGTTTGGCCAACATCTTGCACCATCACGAATGGTTCAGATGGACACAGGACCTAGTTAAATGGTCATATCATAAATACATTTAAAAAAGCAGGAAAAGAGATAATATTTACAATCATGAATATGAAAAAGGCTTTTGATCAAACAAGGGATGGAAAGGAACACAGGAGATAAGATGCATAATTTTAAAATGAATTTAAAAGACAAAAGATTTGTACAAACAAAATCAATACTTAGAATGAAAAAGTAAACAGTTAACAGGTTAAAAAAGCCTCAATTTCTCTGACAAATGTCTAATATCTTAGGTATACAGGGCATTAATACAAATATACTACAACAAGAGCCATTCTTTGAGCAGTCCTCAAAAGAAGAAACCAACAAAAAATGTTCTAAATCATTAATAAGAGAAATAAAGATTTTAAGAATCCCTCACATCCATCAGATCATCAAAGGTCTGATAATAAAAGGAAACAAAAGGATAACAATGACTCTAGCAGTTGCTGAAGGAGAGATGGCCCAGAACTGTACTGTAGGGGAAGTTAAAGTGGCCTAACCATTCTGGACAGCACCTGGAAGGTACTAATAAACCCGGAAGGTACTAATAGACCCGAAAGGTACTACACTATACACACACCCTTTGACTCAGTGATACCACTACAAAAAGGTCAAAAAAGCAGGGAAAGGACACACAGGTACAAAAATACTGATAGCAACTATTTTGTTTTAACAAAGATAGAACCAAAGTGGATGCCTATCAATTGGGCAGAGGACTGGCTAAACAAATTATGGCATATAAATGTAGTGGAACATGTTGGTGGCATATGAGATGACGCAAGAGACAGATTCAAATAAAACTGGGAAGACTTAGAAGAGATGCTGGATGAAGTGAGCAGAGCCAGAAGAACTACGAAGGTAAGTATGGCACTATAAAGGAAAAACTGTGAAAGACTTAAGAATGATGGCAGATGCTCCAGAGAAGTGAGGGGATGGACTCGAGGTGCACTTCTGAAACAGTAGGTGTGCAGATTTGTCTGTTGTGACTGTGCATGTGGTGATGGAAGGTGAGAGGGGAAAGGCAGTAATGAGAAAGTAAGAAGAGGAAGCAGAAAGAAGTTATTTTAAGCTACACTCCCCCCACAACCCTGACAAGCTTCCTGAGGATCAGTGAAGCCACAGAGGGGAGATTTATAGTGTCCCACGTAGTCCTCTCTACCTATTTTTACTGGTACGAGGAAACGTTGATGTTTGCTGATATTTGTCCAGTTCATAATGATAATAAAGAAATTAAAAAAATAAATGTAATCAATATAATTCCACTTCAGTAAGAAGGAGACCCCAAGAGTCCATAAACAATTTTAGTTTGCTTTTCTAGTCATGTGGAAAGACATGGCTGCCAGGTGCCACAAACATTTAGAATTTAAACTCCCTTTAAAAATCTGATGAAGGACAGTGGAGGACCATCGAAAGTACTGATTCCTAGGACAGCGAGAAGCAGTCAAAGGGAAAACATGTTTAAGGGACACTTGGCCAGACACCCCCACCGAGCCACGCTTCCTGAGGGTGCTTGTGATGAGATCAGGAAGAAGAAAACAAACAAAAAACAGAAAAAAGCATCTACAAATGCTCGTACAACTTGTTTTTTTGTCACCATTAAGGACAGTGGGGCCCACACACTAACATCAGTCTTAGGCGTTGTGCACTCCACCCCTTTGGCCCCTTCCTCTGACTCAGGGTTAGCGGTCATAAGGCACAGGGAGAGATAGAATGATCAAAGACTGATAAATAAATAAAGATTGATAAAAAAAAAATTTCCAAGCTCATGCACGTGGAAGTCTAACACACACAATGGAGGGATCAAGGTGAACTTGAAAAGGGGAGGACATGGGAATGGTAGCAAGAAGAACCAGGAAAATTTTGTAGGATATGTGGGGGAATATATCAGTATACGTGGTAAAGTCCCCTAGTACAAGAACAGGAGACGAGGAGGAGAGGAAGCCTGGGAGCCAGGCAATGGGTTTGCTGAGGAAGGAGGAAAAGAAGCATCGGAGGATAGGTGGATAACTGCCACCAGGATCTAGACTGGGTGACAGGCCTGGAGATCCTGAACCTCGGAGGAGCAGAAGTTGCTGAGGAGAGACTGGGGGTGACAATGGAGAGGAAGGAGAACCGTGACTCTGTCACCAAGACCAATGACTTGGGACCGTAAGCAGTCCCAGGAAGGGTGGCCCAGGGCGAACAATCATCCAGACTCTGGATTCCACAGTCAGCCAGGGAGTGCCCAAGATGGAAGATAAAGAGAGGAGGAGGTCTAAAATAAAAGGAAGGCTGCTAATGATGGAGCAGGAGCTGGAGAGGTCTGGGGAAAAGGAGGCTGGGGAGGGGGAAGTGGCCGGCTGGGCCCGGGGGAGGTAGGTTAGAGGGTTCAAGGTCATACCTTCAGGATGTGCTGTTTCACCGTGTGAGGCTTTGGGAAGGTGAGGTGTTCCAGGCCCCACCAGGCACCTGGACGAGCTGTGTGTCCACATGGTTCAAGGGAGCCTACGGAAGCGCCTTCCAGGAGACCCCCAGAGGCCTGGCCCCTCACCCGTGTGGCCCAGCGAACACTCTAGATTGGAGCATCCCAGAAGGAGCCAGGAGGCAGCACGTCTGGAAGAGTGCAGGACCTCCTAAATGAGATCTCGGAAGACTTTCACCAAGGACCGAGCCTGTCTACTGCCCAGACACGTACAAATGACCACAGCTCACCGAGCTCAATTATTAGTCACAACGAGCCGCCACACTGTGAGGCAGGTGCTCCTGGTGCTATGAAGCCCACTTCACAGATGAGGAAGCTGAAGCCCAGAGGCTGGCCTGCCCCGCGGCAGCATTCGAACCCAGGTCCTTCCGCTCTAGCTCTGTACTGCACTCATTACCTAGAAAATGAGGGCGCTGATCCAGACCCCTTAATGTGGGGTCAGTGAACAGGGCTCCACAAACTTGGATGGGGAAAAGAGGACATCTTTCTTTCTCATTAACCTGTAGCATTTGTACTATGACTATAGACAGCATGATCTGGAGGTCTCCAGAGGCTTCATCAAGTGGCCAACGAGATCAGTGATACAAAAGTCGATCGAGAACCCCTGGCCTCAATGGCCAATAAGGTCCCTTCCCCATCTACAGCCTGTTATTCTAAGAGATAGGCAGTAACTCCCTTCAGAAGGAACCAGACAGACAACAGCCAAAGCAGATGAGAATTCTGTTTTATTGTTACCGTCTTTAAATACTCCCAGAGGACAGAATAGCCCAGTGTTCCTTAGTCATACAGAAGAAAGCTTTTATTTCCCAAAGAGCCACGGAACAAGAAAGGAAATGGGGAGGGGTGCGGGAACCTCTGAACAATTCTGAGTGGGGAGTTCTGAGGAGTCTGGCTAGAACCAGAAGCTGCTCGCAAATCCCTTTGAGGCCAGGACCAAAACAGTCCAGGTGTATTCTGTAAAGCTATATTCCACTGAAACACCTGGGGGCTGCAGACACGGCTTCCTATCCAATGATGGACAGCCCCAACAAACTGGGGGAAAGGCACCCACTCATTCAGACTTCCCTGAGAGATGGGAGGTGCTCTTGCTCTAGTCCTGAGCTCTGGAAAGTACTGGGGAGCGGGGCAAGACAAGACCTGAGACCCCTGCTTGCAACGGGCATATGAAGGAGACAAGTGACACAGGGCCAGGAAGATGGGCAGGAAAGGCCCTAAATGCCAGGCCAAGAGTTGGCCCTTAGCCCGAGGGCAAGAGAGCCACCTGGGGTAATCTGACCAGAGGGAGGAACAGGGTCAGAAATGTTTCTTAGGAAAATGAGCTGGACAGCAGCAAGGACAGATAGGTCAGTGAGAAGAGACTGCAGACAGGTGGAGAATGTACACAACAGACCAGGAAATGGGAGTGAAAGGGAGATGAGCAATGTGAGAGACAACTGACTGACTGTGGGGGGAAGGGGGGCAGCAAGACTTGAATTCCACTCCCCTTTCAATGGGGGTGGGGGGTTGTTGGACTGGCTGAGTTTGTGCTGGTCTGTGCCTGCCCAGGAGTGATCCCGGGCAGCAAGAGGCAGGGGAGGAAGGAGGGAGGATGGGTAGAAATCAATGCAGTGAGGACAAGCAGCACATCAATGAACAGGTCCCCACGGGGGAAGCTGCTCAAGGGGGGGGGATTGGGGGTGTAAGAGTATGGGGCTCCCTCCCTGGGGGAAGGCTTCTAGAGGAAGCTGCCTCCCCAGTCCCCAGCACGCTGCCTGACCCAAAGCAGGTGCTTAGCAAAGGCTGACCGGAGGGAGCTGAGCAGGGTGGGGGGCAGAACAACATGGCAGGAAGGAGCCCAGACAGGGTGGTTAACCAAGGGCATGACACTGACCACTTCCAACCACCACCACAGGAACATGATCACCTCTCTCAGGGCAAAGCCCCGGACTCTGACTCCAGACTTCCTCCTCCCACCCTCTTCCTAGGGTGGTTAGCATGCCAGCTCCCTGAGGGCAGGTACCGTATGTTCTCAATGCTTAGCACAGTGCCTGACCCAGAGTATGTAAGCACTTACCAGGCTTAGCCTGGCCCAAAGTGGCATTCAGAGTCATCACCATACAATCCCCTTTCCAGCTCACAGGAGGGTCCGACTCGTCCTTCCTCCCCCTACACTTGGGACTGATCTGGACTCTCGGGCCACATCTGCACTCTGGGCCTGCCTGCACACACGTCAGAGCTCACCGCTGGCTGAACCCAACTCTCAAAATGCTACTGAACTTTGAGGCCTAGTTTAGACGCCACCTCCTCGGTGAAGGCCTGACCTCCCCTGATTGTGGACAGAACACGTCATGCCTCTGGACCCCAGAGCGTTTTGTTTATGCCTGTCTGCGACTGATTAAATTACCACTTTTCTTACTATGATTATGCCCCTTCTCTCTCTCATGAAAGTCTTCATTAAATCACCATTTTTTTAACTTTGCAATTATACTCTGCATTGACGCCTCTGCCCCACAGCACTTGATTTATACCTCTCTCTCTCTGTCTCTGTCTCTCTCTCCCCTTCATTAAATTACTGTTTTCTCACTGTAATGATAATGGCCAGGAACACTGCTGAGAAGGAGCACCTGTCTTCCTTCACTGCAGAGACGCAGGGACTGAGAGTGGAAATATCCCACACTGCCAGACAGTCACCGTGCACTCCTCCTCAGTGACATAGTGGATGCGGTGTGGACAGCAAGTCTCTAAACAAGGCCAGGATGGGGCAGCTAGATGGCACAGTGGATAAAGCACTGGCCCTGGAGTCAGGAGGACCTGAATTCAAATCTGGCCTCAAACCAAACACCTGACACTTACTAGCTGTGTGACCCTGGGCAAGTCACTTAACCCCGATTGCATCACTAAAAAAAAAAAAAAGAAAAAAAAAGAAAAAAAATAAACAATAAACAAGGCCAGGAAATGACATCTGTAGCTGGAAGAACCAGGCAACCGAAGAAGGAAAGGGGGGACCCAAGAGGGCAGGCTCCCATGCCCAGAGCTGCCTTGGTGTGCCACACACCTCAAACTACGCCGAGGGCAGAGGCCACAACATCGGCCAGAAGAATGCCAAGGGTCCAAGGTGTAAGGCTTTCCTGCATAGCTCACTATGACTGGGGCAAGTATGCTTCCATCACCATGCTCCTCTAGGCTGAAGCTAAAAAGCCCTAGCGAGATGGGAGTCTCACCGCCAGGCCTGGCGGGTGCCATCACAACGTGATGAAGGGGCCGTAAGGAAGGACGAACAGGACACTGGTCATCACGCTGCTCAGTGACCTGCATACAGGTGAGGACCCACAACTAACATCCACTTACTTATCTCCTGCCGACATCACGCAGGTTAACTGAAGGAAGGCATGTTACGGCCTAAGAGAGTGTCTTGTATCTTACACTCCAGTGACAAAGCAAATATTAACTCGCTACCCCCAGGCCCGGGCCTCTCAAGCAGCTTTTGTGAGGGCAGCTCAGGTGTGGCCGACAGAGCCAGGAAGGACATGAGAAGCACTCTGACAGTGGCCAGAGCACTGGCTTTGGAGTCGCGAGGCTTGTGGCTCACTCCCACCTAGGACAACTCCTACCCACGTGACCTTGCACATGTCATCCACCTGGGCCTCCATTCTCTTCTCAGCTGGCCTGAGGACCCTTCCTGCTCGGGTGACATCCCCCCTTGGAGAATACAACCTCTTCAAAGGGATGGGATACTTCACCTCTGGCTGCGCACACAATAACAACCACGGGAAGGCTGAACTGACCAACCTCAAAGACCAGATGGGGCAGCCCCTCACAACTCCTAGGCAGAGTGCCTGGCAATCACCAGCACCTGGCCCTGCCCAGGAATCTGGGCTGCCCTCGGAGCAGCCCCAGGCAATGCTCTCAGACAACAGCTCTAGATGAACAGCGATCTGCGTCAGCGGGGGAGGTTTCCACGTGCGAGTGGAAGACAGACCAATGAAAGAACGTTTCAGAAGCAGAGCTGCCGAGGCCAGGCTCTGGAAGCCGTGACCTGTGCTGCACAAACGGAGGCAGGGCTCACTGGTGGCAGTGGGTCTGCCCACTCACTCCTGCCAAGGATTGAGGTGGACCACAAGGCCCCCTGAATGTGCAGGAGATCAGAGAACTATGCAGCTTCCCAGGTGGAACATCCCGAGGACCTGCCTGAACGCACGCTCTCACTCCAAGGTCGATGGCTGGCCACTGAGGGGGCGGCAGCGGCTGCTCCAGGACATGAAGCTGTGCTTCAGGGGTGGCAAAGGAAACCAGCCTGGCGGCTGACAGCGCCGGCGCTGCGCAGCCTGTGCCGGCCTTCCCAAGGTCACGGCCATTCGTTCCAGCCAGATCTGGCTGCACCAAAGAGACATCCGCTTCCAGGCCAAAGAGCAGCACTCTGCAGGCAGCTTTAAAAGGCAAGTCATCGGTCCTGGCACAGGACTCCAGCCCTTACAAATGATGACAAAGACCGATGACTTCCAGTGGGAAAAGAAGAGCTGGGGAAAGAGTCAACAAACTTCCCAGGGCTAGAATCTGCTTTTTAAGCAAAATCCTGTTTCGGGACCCAGAAACCCCCTATCTCCAGGGCCCAAGGGCAAAGGGCTTAACAAAGGCCTGGGCTGCAAAGCCACCGACCAGACTTGCTGCAGCCCCTGTGGCCCTGCACCAAGACCAGTGCCTCCCAAATCCTTCTCTCCTCCTCAGAGCTAGCATTTACAGAGCACCTACTGTGTGCCAGCAACTGTGCTAAGCACTTCACAAATGGTACCACTCCTATTCTCATCAGTCCTTCTCAGCCCCAGCACTATGCCAATCTCCACCTGGGTTCTAACCCACCTCACTGTGCCCCAAAGAACCCCCGGCCAACCGGCCACAAACTCCCCTACAGCCTCAAACTCACCCCTGTCACTTTTAAAGGAGCCATGGCTCTCCCCTAGGGAGACATCCCTGCGCACTCACTGGAGGCCACTCTCTCAGCCTCCTTCCTCACTGCACACAGGCCCAGAAGAAGGGTGGGGCCCACTCCTTCTCTCTTCACCATGTCTCCAGGCCACTCCTCTACGGACCAGAAGCATCACACTGACCTCACCTCCTCCAAGGTCACTGAAACCTACGCTAGGAGCCTCTTTCCATCCTATGTTCGCCCTGATCCAGGGCACTCCCTCAACTTTTTCAGTTACTTCAATGCCCAGCCCAACATCCTGACACCATCTCCAGGGACTCATGCCGATGCCCTTCCTGCCACCTGGCCTATGCCTTATCCTTGGTGGCCTTTTCCTCCTCCACTGCATTGCAGTCACATGCCAGCAGGATGGCACATTAAGCCTCACCAGCTCTCCAAGGTGCACCACTTTCAGAATAATTTACCCTGCCCCCAACCTCTTATCCTTCCACCCTACAGCCCCCTCACCTCTCCAAAGGAACACTACTCTTCACCCTTGCTATGATCTTTCGTCCCTCAATCCATCCATCTTGTAGATTAACATCCCATAGAAGAAATCAAGTCAGAGCAGAAGAAAGGCTCTAAAGAACAGCACTCTGAAGACAGAAAAGAAAAAGATTCCAATGGGAGGAAAAGGAGGAATCGTTAAGAGACAGATGGGGCAGATTGGAAGGCTCACTAAATCAACTTAGAGTTTTTAAAAGATAAGTACAAAAGATGGCGGCATGGTGGGGAAAGGACAATGAATACCAGTGTGGAGCATCCCTGTAAAATGAGTGTCCACAGTCCTGAAGTTCAGCATGAACTGAGGTTGGGCAAGGACGCTAACGGGAACAAAGAGGACTTTGTTTTATTTTGTTTGTTTTTAGGCAATTAGGGTTAAGTGACTTGCCCAGGGCCACACAGCTAGCAAGTGTCAAGTGTTTGTCTGAGGCTGGATGTGAACTCGGGTCCTCCTGACTTCAGGGCCGGTGCTCTATCCACTGCGCCACCTAGCTGCCCCCTAAAGAGGACTTTTTGACATCACTATTGGAGAAAGGAGGTTCACAGAAGGACTGGGACCGTGGCTTGAGGTAGAGGGAATGATGATAATGAGCAGGACACAGACTGCTCAGCTTTTACCTTGTTTCTGGGTTACTGGGTTTTTTACATTTGTTTTTGCTTTTTTCCTGCCAAGGAGAACGGTCTTAGACTGAAGAGGACAGAAGAAAAATGGCTGCTTTTTACCTGCTTTCCTGTCCACAGTGGGCAGGGCTTGAGAATGGCAGGAGGAAAGATCTTCACTCGTCCAACTCTGTCTGTCAGTCCTCGGTACACAAGCTCCATGTACTGCTCCCGGGTGAAGAAGCAGCCCCGGGTGGTCATCCTGGCACCAGAGACCATGTGATCCTGGATCAATCCAGCCAACGGTTGGCCATCCTGACAGACCAAAGCACAGAGGGCAAGGGAAAGAGGAGAAGACACTTTTAGAGGCCAACAAATTTCTAATCATGGCTTCAAGGCTGTCCAGCAAGCGTGACCTTTGTCTCTCTGTTTCTTCCATGATACTCTATCCTGAACTAGTCTGTTTCCTCCACCCCCAACCCCCTCCACCCGAAACAAAAACAAAACACCCTGCAGACTGCCCTGGCACCAGCCCATCACTTCCCCCGAGGAAACCTCCACTCCCAACTCACTGACTCTCTAGGGCTATCCCACACTGGTCTCACCAGTAAATACTCCGCACACACTTGAAGACAAAATGTGGCCAGTGGCCATCAGACAAGCCACAAGCATTCAAGGTAGTTCCCATGGACTTCTCTCCCATTTAACAGGAGCTCAGACTGGAAGCTCTCTGAGAGTAGGGACTGTTTCCTTCTTTGTATTTATAACCCCATCACCTAGCACAGTGCTTAATAAATGTTGTTGAACCCACACAAATCACTGGCGTTCCTATATATTACTAACAAAGCCCAACAGCAAGAGATAGAAAGAGAAATTCCATTTAAAGTTACTGTAGACATTATAAAATATTTGGGAGTCTAGTTGCCAAAACAAACTCAGGAACTATATGACCACAATTATAAAACACTTTTCACACAAATAAAGTCAGATCTAAATAACTGGAAAAATATTTGCTGCTCACAGATAGGCCGAGCTAATGTAATAACAACAATAATAATGTAACAACAAAATTCATCTGGAAGAATGAATGAAAAGGTCCCAAATATCAAGGGAACTAATGCAAAGAAATGCAAGGGAAGGCGGCCTAGGGGTACCAGATCTTAAATTATATTATAAAGCAGTGATCGTCCAAACTACTTGGTACTGGCTAAGAAATAGAGTGGTGGATCAGTGGAATAGGTTAAATATGCAAGACACAGTAGTCAATGACTATACTAATCTACTATTTGATAAATGCAAAGACTCCAGCTTCTGGGATAAGAAATCACTATTTAACAAAAACTGCTGGGAAAATTGGAGAACAACATGGCAGAAACTGGGCACAGACCAACATCTTACACCTTATGTCAAGATAAAGTCAAAATGGGTACATGATTTAGATGCAAAGATCGATACCATAAGCAAACTAGGAGAGCAAGTAGTAGTTTGCCTGTCAGACCTATGGAGAAGGGAAGGATTTATGACCAAACAGGAGACAGAGCGCTCTGAAATGCAAATGGACAACTTTGGTTACATGAAACTGAAAAGGTTTTGCACAAAGAAAACCAATGCAACCAAGATTAGGAGGGAAACAGAAAACTAGGAAAGAATTTTTATAACCCGTGTCTCTGATAAGGGCCTCATTTCTAAAATAGATAGAGAACCGAGTCGCATTTATAAGAATACAAGTCATTCCCCAATTGATAAATGGTCAAAGGATACGAACAGGCAGTTTTCAGAGGAAGAAATTAAACCTATCTACAGTCACATGAAAAAATGCTCTAAATCACTATTGATTAGAGAAATGCAAATCACAACGACTCTGAGGCACCACATCACATCTATCAGATTGGCTAAGATGATAAAACATGAAAATTATAAATACTGGAGAAGATGTGGGAAAATTGGAATACTAATGCGTTGCTGGTGGAGTTGTGAAATGATCCAACCATTCTGGAGAGCAAATTTGGAACTATGCCCAAAGGGCTATAAAACTGTGCATACCCTTTGACCCAGCAATAGCACTTCTAGGTGTATACCCCAAAGAGAGCATACAAATGGAAAAAAGACACACATGTACAAAAATATTTGTAGCAGCTCTTTTTGTGGTGGCAAAGAACTGGAAATCGAGGGAACGCCCATCAACTGGGGAACGGCTGAAAAAATTGTTGTATACGAAGATGATAGAATACTATTGTGCTATAAGAAATGCTGTGCAAGTAGACTTCAGAAAAACCTGGACTGATATAAACTGACACTGAGTGAAGCAAGCAGCACACAGTAACAGTCATGTTGTGTGATGGCTGACTCTGATAGACTCGGCTCTTCTCAGCAACGCAAGAATCTAAGACATCTCCAAAAGACTCGCGGTGGAAAACGCTGTCCACATCCAGAGGAAGAAGCAGGGAGTCTGAATGCAGACGGCAGCATGCTGTTTGCTCTCCTTTTCTTTCGTTGTTTTGTTTTACGGCTTCATTCTCGTGGTTCCTCCCATTAGCTCTAATTCTTCTTTACGTCATGACTAATGAGAAAACATGCTTAATATGAATGCATAAGTAGAGCCTATATCAGCTTGCATGTCATCTTGGGGATGGGGGAGGAGAGGAAGGGGGAGAAAATTTAAAACTCAAAATCTCATGGAAGTGAACGCTGAAAACTAAAAATAAATTAATTAGTTAAAAAACAAAACAAAGAATAAATGCTTGCTGACTGACTAGAGTATGATCCCTTGAAGACAGGGACGACAGCTCCTATTTGCAGTCACTTCTCCACAGTGGTCATTACTATTCTTAGTGCAGAGCAGACCCTGGAGAGACGTTGGTTAAAAGGCTCTCCAAACCAACTAGTCAATCAACCAATGTACCTTTATTAAACACTATGTGCTAAGCACTGGTGGTACAAAGATTAAAAAAGAAAAGAAATGGTCCCTGCCCACAAGGAGCTTACAATCTACCCAAAGACAACACATGCACATATATGCACACACAGAATACATACAAGACATAAGAGAGTTAAACACGAGATAGCTGGGGGGTGGGGGAGGAGGGAGACACACTAGCAGTTCAGGGGAACAGGAAACAAGATCCATCCCAGAAACCTCATGGAGTGAGGAGGAAGAGCTTGACTTCACTGGGTGCTTTCTGCCTCTACCACCTTCTGATTGCTAATTAACTGAGTCCTGACTCTGGTGTTTCTTTGCGGCAATACATGAGGTAATTTAAATGACTTTAAAAAAATAAAAAGTGGGTCGCTGGAGTGACTGACATCTGTTAAAAAGCAATTCACACAAATTGTTTTTGGTACGGGCATTAGGATGGGGGTGCAGTTCGGATATCTAGAGACCACATTTTCATTATTTAAAAAAAATGTTTATACACAATTAGAATAACACAAGATTTAGCAGCTTGTACATTAAGGGACCAGAGGGCTTGGAATATAATATTCTGGAGGTCAAAGGAGACAGGATTACAACCAAAAATCACCTACCCAGAAAAACTGAGTATATTCCTTCAGGGGAAAATGGACATTCAGTGAAATAGGGGACTTTCAAGCATTCTTGATGAAAAGACCAGAGCTGAATAGAAAATCTGACTTTCAAATACAGGACTCAAGAGAAGCACGAAAAGGTAAACAGGAAAGAGAAATCATAAGAGACTTATTAACGCTGAACTGTTTACATTCCTGCATGGAAAGATGATATTTGTAACTCATGAGACCTTTGTCAGTATCAGGGTAGTTAGAGGGGAAAAAAATCGTATGTATAGACAGATTGATAGATAGAGGGCAGAGGGTAAGCTGAAGATGAAGGGGTGATATCTAAAAAATAAAATTAGGGGGTGACAGGATTATACTGGGAGGAGAAAGGGAGAGGTAGAATGGGGTAAATTATCTCACAAAACAGACAGACAAGAAAAAGCTTTTAGAGTGGAGGGGAAGTGGGGGAAGGTGACAGGGAAGGAGCGAATCTTATTCTCATAGGATTTGGCTTAAGGAGGGAATAACATACACACTCAATTAGGTATGGAAATCTATCTTACCCTCCAGGAAAATAGGGGAGAAGGGGAGAAGAAAGCGGAGGGGGGATGACAGAAGGGAGGGCAGATTGGGGAGGTAGTAATCAGAAACAAACACTTCTAAGGAGGGACAGGGCTAAAAGAGAATAGAATAAACAGGGGCGGGGCAATAAGATGAAGGGAATATAGTTAGCTTTTCACAACAAGACTACTATGGGGGCAGTTAGGTGGTGCAGTGGATAGAGCACCAGCCCTGGAGTCAGGAGGACCTGAGTTCAAATCCTGCCTCAGGTACTTGATACTTACTAGCTGTGTGACCCTGGGCAAGTCACTTAACCCTGATGCCTAGCAAAGAAAATAAAAAACAAAAACAAACCAAAAAAACCACACGACTACTATGAAAGCGTTTTGCATGACTACACATGTATAATCTGTATCAAGATGCTTGCCTTCTCAATGAAGGTGGGTGGAGAGGGAGGAAGGCAGAAAATCTGGAACCCAAAGTTTTAAAAAGAAGTGTTAAAAATTGTTTTCACATGCAACTGGGAAATAAGATATACAGGCAATGGGGTACGGAAATCTATCCTGCCCTACAGAAAATAGAAGGGGAAGGGGGCGTAGTGATAGAAGTGAGGGCCATGACTTGGCAATTACCTTAAGGGCTAAGCTAAGTAATGTCAATCACTTGCAAACAATAATCAGGACCCTCTGGGAGGGAGGCAGAAGCACCTGCAGGGGATGCTGCACTTCACAATTCTTGTTTAAGACCAGGAAGAGGTCTAAATCAAAGGCCAGGGAACGGCCCCCTGCTCTTTGTTAAGTCCAAGATTAACTGGAGGGTCCAGAAAAGGAACATTCTGCTTGGTGACTTTTCTGGTTGAGTGTGAAACAGGGAACCCTTTCTCTCTGTGCTTTAATACCTCCCAAAGGGCCCCTTCAGTCCAGGGTCAGTCTAGGAGGGCGCACACGTGGCTCCCTGGGACCCGGGGCAGCTCACCCTATGTCTCAAGATCGTGGCGAGGCAGCATGGGAGAGGGGGGAGAGCAATGAGCTCTGAGGCTCCTTCAGCTCCAAATCTAAGACTGTAATTCTACCCCAGAAGCCCAAAGGCAGGTAGCCTCCTAAACATTATCTGAACCTGAACTGTGGTTTACCAAGTATCATGTTGGAGGGTCCTCATCTGACTCATCTATTCAGCTGTGAGGTTGTGAGCACATCTTAGCTACAACTCCACAACCCCCAGGGCCCACCAACTGGGAGCCGACCAATGTTAGCCAGACTGAACTCAATGACCCAGAGTGGACAGCCTTCCGTCAAAAAACCACTGACCCACGGAAGAGAACAGCAATCCTGGGAACGGACACCATGAAGTATTCTACTCTGCCTCTTCTGAAGAATGAGAGGCTTTATTCAATAAACGGAAAAGACAAATAAATTGGGGATGGGGGAAAAGGAGAAAGATTTAGAGAGGGAGAGAGAGGGGGGGGAGGGAAGGAAAGCAGGGAAGATAGAAAGAGGAAGGAAGACAGAGAAGAAAGGAAAAAAAGAGAAAGTTTGGAAGAGAGAGACAAAGAAACAGGGAGAAATGGGGAGGGAGGGAGGGAAAGAGGCGGGGGGAAGGAGAGAGGGAGGACAGAGGAAGAAGGAAAAAGACTGGGGGAAAGAGGCAGAAACAAAGAAAGAAGGAGGGATGGGAGGAAGGGAGAGATGGACAGAGAGACAGGGAGAGAGGGAGGGAGAAGGGGAGGGAAGGAAAGAGAGGGAGAGAGAGAGGGAGAGGGAGAAGGAGAGGGATTCTCATCTTTTTACCTTCGAATAGAATAAATACAGAGCCCTTGGCCCCCTCCCTTGGCAAAAAAAAAAAGTTAACAGAAGTTTGACAGCATATAAAGAGTGTTAAGTAGTCAGTCTGTCAGTTAAATGTTATCGAGCCCCTACTGTGCATCATGCACTCAAAGAGGCTAAAGACGGTCTCTGCCCTCGAGGCACTCCCAGCGTACAAATATAAAAAAGCAAGCCACACACAGTATCACTAGGAGACAATGAAAAGAGGGCAGACTCCAAGAGAGGTCAGGGAAGGCTGCGTGGAGCTGGTGGGATTCTAGCTGGGTCTTAAAGGACGCCAGGGGCCAGCTGACTGAGCAGAGAGGAATGTTTCAGAGAGCACGCCCAGAGCCAGGAGATGGGGGGCTCTCATTCCTGGAATGGCCAGGAGGCCGGCATCCCTGGATCTAAGCACAGGTGGGGCGGGTGAAGGTCTGGGGTGAGCCTCCTAACAGCACTTTATCCACAATTTAAATAACTGGATTCTTAGCTAGACAACGATGATAACAGGTGGGCCTAAACTTCATCCATGCTCATACGGTGCTGCACAGTTTGCTAGCAGCTTTCTCCCCACCACCTCTTCACCATAACTACGACCTGAGGAAGGCAGAGATGACTCTCGTTACCCAGGGAGGGAACAAAGACTCAGAAATGCTAAGTAGTAAATGGCAGACCCAGGGATTGAACCCAGGCCCTCCGACTCCCAGCCCTATGGGTTTAGTCCTAGACCACACCCATTCAGCTCCCTAATCTCCTCCAGCATCTGCCTAGCATCATCCCGGCAAATGACTCTGGGGCCTGGTGGTCTGGGGCCTGTTGGAGGCTTAGCCAGAGGGGCCGTGACATGACCTCAGCTGCGCCTCCCAGAGTGGTCACAGAACCAAGCCTGCTAGCAATTCAGGGCCACAGAGGACTGGATAAGGTACACTCCCTGCTCTGTCCATTTTTTCTGGTTCTGAAGACTCATTCTTCTTCACTGTCCAAACTTCAACTCATCTGACTTCCCCATGACCCTTCAAAGTCACAATGAAAAGGCTCTTTTCACATGAAAGAAGGCTATTTTCCAACCTAAGTCTAAATGAGAGGGCTCATTCTATCAATTCCTCAACCCTTTTTTGGAGTGTTGGGTTTTTTTCCCCAGCTTTAAATATTTTACTTTTTTCCAATCACAAATAAAAGTAATTTTTAAACTTTGTTTTTTAACACGTTGAGTTCCCAATTCTCTCAGACCCTCCTCTAAGACGGTGCTCTTGAGGAGTCCTGGGCCATCCCTCCCAAGCTGCCTGATGGATACAGGACACAGCAAGGACCTTTCACAGCTTCTGAGCGACCCAGGGAGCTAAAGAGATTCTATGGAGATAGAGAGACCTAGCGAGCAGCCATTTGGGACTGCTCACCTTGGGGGAAGCTGCAGGGGATGCAGGAGCGTGCCTCCTATTTATCCACAGAAATAGGCACAGATTTGTACATATAAATACATACACACACATACACTTGTGTGTGTGTGTGTGTGTGCGTGTGTGCACACGCTTGCATATAACTCCATTCTGTCTACCTCAAGGCAGTGTTTTTAGCCCTTCTGGTGTGAGAAATCACGAAGGGTTTTTGCTCTGTGTGTTTCTGTATGCGCACGCATGCACACACACATCTACCACAAAATCTGAATCGAGAACAGTCCCTTGGAAGCTCTAAGGGGTACCTAAGCTAGAGAAGAGACGAGGACCAAGGAAATCAAATCACGTAATCCTGCCACGTTCCTGGAGCTGCCCAGAAGAATGTCTGGCATCCAGGCTGGCTCCCAGGTCAGCCACTCTTGGGCTGTGTGATCCTGCACCAGTCACCTTCTCCCTGGCCCTGGTCTTCTGTTTCTGCACTAGGAAGAAGCTGGCCTGGGTGGCCCCATGCTCCAAGGCCACCTTTGACACAAGCCCTTTCTGCCCCTCCCCCTACTCTTCCAGCACTGACCTTAGGTGTAATTATTGATGTACATGCTATCTCTCTCAAGGACAAGGACTGTGTGTGCTTTACCCCTGCGTCTCCAGAGCCTCACCTGGCGCCTACGACTCCATAAACACTTTTCTGCTGCACACCCACAAAGCTAACCTACCTTGGGCACCAGGTACTGCTCATCGGTACAGGCCAGGACGCAGGCCTCGGCCCGGCCGAGCTCGCTCTGGGGGAAATGGGCGTTCATCTCGTCTCCATCGAAGTCGGCGTTGTATGCCTTGCAGTTGGCATAGTGGAGGCGCAGGACTTTCTCCGAAGGCAGGATTCTGGCTCGGTGGGCCTGGATGGAGGGTCTGTGCAGGGTGGGCTGCCGGTTCAGCAGGAGAACGTCCCCGTTCTTCACGTGACGACACACCTGAGAGGAATACCGAAGAACGTGACAGGGACAGGGTGAGGCCTGCTGGCACCTGTGGCTCAAGAAGGTAAACGCAGCATACGGGTTGTGGGGAGAATGTCCCCTGCGGCACACGTCCTGCTGAACGGATTTCCGTAAACTAGAATGATTGGTCCTCTTTTAATTTCAGTGTGTGTTTTAGAATGTTGCTGTTGTCCGGTCATTTCAGCCTTGTCCACCTCTTCATAAAGTCACACATGCATGTGACCGTCCACATGTGCACTCACAAGTTTTTCCTGATTCCCCATGCCCCTCCCCCCAAGCTCCCACAAGACCACCCAGCCCTTCCATGGTGCCTTCTGGAATGCCTGTTCCATAGGCAACAAACTTCCCTTCAACCTAAATCTTTTCCTCTCTCACTCCTTCCATCTGCTAGCTCTTACTGAAACCCAGTTCCTCCCCTTAGACAGCCTCCTTGGCCTCCGTTTCCAGTACTGGCCACACCCTCATTCCCCTCAAGCTGACTGGTCAGGAAGAGGGACTGGAAGGTTCCTTGCCTACTGCCAGGTCCAGGTTCTGCCCCTTCCTCCAGCGCTCAGTTACCTCTCTTCTGATGAGGTTCGTGCTATTCCTATCTACCACCTAATCAAAATCCTGGTAGCTGTTGCCTCCAGAGCCCAAGGGCAGCCCCCTTCCTTCCTCAATGAGTCTGTACCTGACTTTTCATTTTTCTCACCTCTCCAACTCCTGCCTTCATACTAGGGGACTTCAACAAACACACTGAATCTCCCTCAAATACCTTAACCGCTCAGGTCCGCGACCTACCCGCCTCCCATCAGCTACTCCTCCACCCAGAGAGAAGAGCCTACAGGGGAGTGGATGAGGAGAGGGTAAAGGCTGAAAAGGAAAGAAAAGGAAGGAGGATGGGAGAGACATGGGCTTATTGCAGGCAGTGAGGAAGCTACTGATAGATAGGGACAGACTGAAGATGAGTTTAAGAATTGGAATGATAAGCGTGGAGCAAGGTACTGGAGAGGATGGGATGGAATGGGATTCCTTGTACACATGGAGAGACCAGCCTTGGCAAGGACGCCTCATTACATGGCAGAAAACATCTGGGTGAAGTGATGTAAGGAGGAGGGGAGAAGAGGGAGCTCTCAGCAAGCGGTCTCAAATTTTTCAGTGACACTGGGGCAAGATATTCAGTTGAAAAGGTATAGGCTGGGCAGGGAGAGCTTTTGTTTCTTCCCTTCCTGAGGGCAAGTCCCCAGGATAAGATTTAGGGATCAGAATACAGAGCGAGAGGCACTGCTTCTGAGCAACTAGGACCAACTAGGACAACTGAAACGTGGGCAGTCGAGTTCAGTGGATATAGGGCAGTGCCCACAGACAGTTTTCTTTGGTCCAGAGAGGCTGGGGCACACAATAGCTTTTTTTCTGTGCCTGATTCAATTTTTCTTGGTTATTTTCAGCCTCAGAAGCCAACAGGCAGCTCTGAAAATCACCTTCAATAAAGGTCAGCCCTCTGTGCTCCCTGGAACTCACCCATGTGAATGACATAATTAGCTAAAAATGTCCAGGTTTCCTAGGAGACTTGGACTCCACAAATTCCCATGAGCCCTGGCCAGGGCTTTGGAAGCTCAAGTGCGTCACTCGGCCTGAAGTGACCTAGAAGGTCTGGGTTCTTAGCTTCTCAGGAGAGAAATGCTCAGTACTATGGCCCGAAACCATAAAATCTAAGCACAGGCCAGCATCTTGCTTTCATGGAAACAGAGATAGAATCACAGCTAAACAAACACTAGGCAGCTGGGAATTACAATGGGAAAACCCACAGGCCAAATGGGCCTGCAGCTATAAAGCCCAACAGGAGTTAGAGATCAACAGGGCAAAGGTCAAAGTGCTCACAGGCTCCAGTGGCTGACCATCTGTGATGGGTCATGGGTGAAGAGGTGATGGGCCACTTTTCCCGTTGTTTCCCAAATTCCATTCCATTCCAAATTCTGCCTATGCAAAGGAACTACCCCCACCAACCCCAGCATCAGAAGCCGCCATCCCTCCCAGCCTCCCCACTTAACGTCACTGATCCCCCCAAATCTTTAACCAGCTAACCCCTCCCACTCTGCTCTATCCAGGGACCTGCATACGGCAAAGAGAGAGGGATTAGGACGGTATAAGCCTTCCCAGGTGAGTAAATGTGGAGAAAACCTCTCAAACTTAAAGAGTCCTAGAGAGTGGTCTGAGCAGTGGTGTCAAGCTCAAACAGAAATGGATCCTTGCTGGCCACAGACACTTAGAAAACCACAAATTAACATTATCTGTGTTATGTTGTATTTTTCTTTACTTTGTTCAACGCCTCCCAATGATATTTAAGTCTGGTTACTCCATACTGGGGAGATGCAAGTCTAACAGCTCTGGCCTCAAGCACTGAGATTACAGAGGTTACAAAGGTCACATAGCCTTGAATTCAGGCTTTCTTGAGTCTGAAGCCAACTCTCCACCTTCTAGGCCATGCTGCCTTTTACATTTTGTAGTTGTTTTTCAGTCCTTTCAGTCATGCCTGACTCTTCGTGACCCTTTTGGGGTTTTCTTGGCAAAGACTCTGGAATGGTTTGCCATTTCCTTCACCAGCTCATTTTACAGGTGAGGAAACTGAGGCAAACAGGGTGAAGTGACTTGCCCAGGGCCACACAGCTAGGAAGTGTCTGAGGCCAGATCTGAACTCAGGTCCTCCTGACCCCAGGCCCAGCTCTCTATCAACTGCACCACCTAGTGCCCTATATGCCTTTCACATAGAAGGAACTTAATACATACCTGGTGAACTGAATTGAACTGAACAGCTCCTGCCGGCCACACAGGGCCCCTCCATCCCCATCCATGTCCATCTGGCCTCTCCAAGACAAGTACAGCACACCCCCTAACCTGCCCCACTCCCACTCTTCACTTTCAGTTCAATTCAACAAGCATCTGTTAAGCGCCTACCACACAGGAGGCCCTAGGCTCAGTGCCGGATACACAAAACCAAGAAGCAGACTGCCTCTGTCCTCACGAAGCTCTCATCCTCTGTTCCAGCACTCTCCCCACAGCCTCCCTTATAGCTGAGCTCACTCCTCCCTCTAAGCCAGACATTCTTAAACTGGGCATCTGTGAGCTTCTTCCTTCTTTCTTAATATTCTGATAACTGTGTTTAATACACTCTGTTTCCTTTGTAACCCAATGTATTTCATCTTCTGTTTGTAAGTATTTACTGAGTTCCCACAGCATGCCCAGACAGGACTGTCAAGTGCCAAGCGTTACGGCGGTCCTGATCACAAGGGAGGCAGGAGACCAGAAAAGGCAAAGAATGTGGATGGTTCTAGAAAACTGGATGGAAGAGGTGGCACTGGAAGCTAGATATGTTTACATCTATTTTCTCTCCTCCCCCACCCCACCTCCTGTACTGAGTGTAAAAAGCACAGTTCTCCTCTACCCCACAGATAACAGAGAGCTCCCCACACAGCAACATGGCCAGGGAAAGAAAAACCAAAGACAATACTGGTGTTTCAGCAGCAGCCTGCCAGGATGACGAAAACCCTGCAATTGAGTGGGGGCCTAAGGAAAGAGGTGGTGTGTTAGCATACTAAACTCAGATGGTACTTACAACTTTTGCTCCTTGGGGCTTGGGGGCGCCAGTGGCAGGGGTGAGGAGCTGCTTGGCCACAGCTTCCCTCTGGGTCACGTCAGTGGCGCTGAGAGCTGTGCGGCTACCATCCTCATTGATGACCATTGAGGCTCCAGGGTGCACATTGGGGCCGTTGATAACTGCTTGCCTCAGCTCCTGGACGTTCCAAGGAGTCACTGGTTGAGGGTAGGTCAGTTTTGTGGCAAACACCTGAAAATAGATACAAGACTTATGGCATGGGAAGGGAAGCTAAAAATCTTTCTTTACCTGTTCCCATCCCCCTTGGCACCTTAGCACTTAGCAGTTTGCACAGCACATTTTTTTCAAACCAGACCTGTTATTTTATTAGTACAGGGAACATCTAGTTGAGGAAACTCCCTACACAATACAAATTAAAGGCACCCTGGAGTAGTGGATGGAGTGGTGAACTTGGAGTGAGGAAGACCTGGGTTCAATTCCTACCTCAGACACTTACTGGCTGTGACCCTCTTGGTGCACAACAGATGCTAATCTGCATGGGCTGAATTCTTCATTCTAGCAAAGAAGTCACAGGTCTGGTCCAAAGACAATAATCACCCCATGTGCCTAGTATCCTCAGGCTGGCAAGGTGCTTCATATACACAACTGCACTGGCACACCACCACAACTCTGAGGGAGCTACTGCAGGGAGAGTCATAGGAGGAAACAGGGGCTCAGAGATGAAGTGACTTGCCTGTAGTCACAGAGCCAGCATGGGCCTGATGTGGAATGTGACACGAGGCCTCCTTGACTACACCTCCAGCGCCTTACCCACGATCCCACACAAGACGTGGCACCACACCTGTCCTCTGTGATGCTCAGCATCGTTCAAGTCCCTGGGGGGGCTGCTGCTGAGCTGGCTGGGGCTGGCTCAAAGTCAAGGCCCTGCTCCAGAGAGCCACAGACCAGACTCAGGGACGGATCTCTGTGGCTCTGGACTGTCTCCTTATTCAACTGTCTGACTTTCTCCTACAGAGGATGCCTTCCCCCAGGGGTCTGGCTGGCATGGGGCCACGAATTCTCTGGCTTAACTCTCCCACGTTTCCCCTGTGGAGCCTAAGCATCCTCTGGAGAGATGAAGGAGTTGGCATCCAAGAGGCAATCTGAGGGCTTCAGCTCTGCTAATTAGCAGCACTCCACAAATCCCAGAGAGAAAAACAGGGGAGAAAGGAAATAAAGCTCTCCACAGAGGGAATTAAACTGTCATCTCATTAGTGACCCAGAGGTACAGTGAAACCAAAGTCCAATGGCAGGTGGCGCTTAATGACTGATGGCACTAACTCGACAAAGCACCGCTGAATAGAGAGCTAGCAGAAAGACAAAGCGGGTGACCAGACCCCCTAGGGCAGCTCCTGGGGAGGAGCTGAGGGGCCACTCCCTTGTGCCTGCCTCTGGGCCTCTCTGGCACAGCACAGAGCACGAGGAGCTGCCTTGGGAGTTAAGGTGATCTGGGTTCAAATCCTATCTGTGGCATTTCCTACCTATGGGCCCCTGGGTAAATCCCTTAACCTCCCTGGGTCTCTGTTTCCACATCTGTAAAATGGCGGGGGTGGGGGGGGTAGACTAGATGGCTTCTCGGGTCCCCCTGGGACCTTTGGCAGGTCATGTATCTGTTTCTTTATCTGTAAAATAATGGAGTTCAACTAGGGAATGAGCTACGCAGCCTAGGGCAAGTGACTGCATCAACGTGGCCTTCCCATGGTAAGACAGGAGGCTTGGAACAGGTGACCTCAAGGACCCCTTCCAGCTCTGCCCTCCAGGACCTGGGAAAGAACTGGGCCCGAGGCTTGGCCCCAGTGACTGACACTCCTGACCCCGCCAAGCTCACAGGGTCACTGTGAAGGCCAGATGAAGGAAAAGAGGGAACCCAAAGCATCACCACTGGAAGCACTCGCCCTCTGGACAGGGGCAGCATCACATGCTTGGTGCAGATAAGGACATGTATTTGTGAAGCACCTACAATGACCAGAAGCCAGAAACACAAAGAAAGAAGGGAGAAGTACACAATCACACCGGTTCTTTCCAGCTGGACCATGGGGCATCTGGACTGTGGCAGCAAAGTGAATAATAATAATAACGTATTTACAGAGAGCGTCGAAGTTTGCAAAGCTTCTCACAAACACAATCTCATCTGAGTGTAATCATCCCATGAGGGAGCTATGAGTGCCCCCATTTTACGTATGACAAAGGCTCAGAGGTGAGGAAGATCACCTTCTGACTCCCAAGCCTATACGCCATCCACCAGAGGCGAAGCAGGGCAGGCCGCCACAGGTGGCTCTGACCTCTTTTTAGCAATGTGAAGGGAAGTGTGGGCAGGTATGCTCTAGGAGACAGTGATGGACTGTGGGAAAGAAGGAGTTAAGAGGGACACACTTGTCATAACCAGACAAAAAGTCCTTGGACGAGGACCACCTGCGCAGAAGTGAGCAGACAGACTTCCGTGGCCTACTGAGGCCCGCCCTCCCAGACCCTCTGCACACAACTCCCGCTCCCTGGCTCACAGCAGCCCTGCAGCCCCCTTGACTCACCATGGGGATCCCAATTTCATTGGTATTGATGTACATGTCTGGGCAGATGACTGAGCGAGCAGCATAGTCAACACGCTTCCCCATCATGTGCTTCCGAAACAAGCCTTCCTTCTTCTCCAAGATCTTTTGTGGTAAGGGAAACAAAGAAAACAGATGAGGCTCGGGCAGCTGTCTCACTGCATGCGGGCCTACGTGGGCTCCACATCCCTGCCACTCACCTGTCGGATGCCAGGGTACTTCTCCATCATTAACTTGTCCATATCGCTGTCAAACACAATATTGACATGGCTCTGAAGGCGGATCCAAATGCCATAAAGCTTCTCTGTGAGAGACTGGCCTGGAATCATGGCAAGAAAGGAGCGGTCCACTGGAACAGAAGACCCTGTCTCCTGGGGGGAAACATTAAAGAGAGCAAGTGGGACCACAAGCCTGAGCCCCCCTAAGTCGGAGGACCTGACCCTCCCTTTCCCCCAAATGTTAGGAGTCACAGCGCGCCCCAGACTGTTCCAAAGCTTCTAGGACGTTTCCAGCTTGCTTTGACTTAAGGCCTTAAACACTGACTTGAACAAAGTTGGCCTCCTAATGTTAAAGTGAAGATGAGAGATGAATAAAATTTTAGAAAAGTTAGATATGCTAGACCTCTGGAAAAAAAAATGAATGGAAACAGAAAGGAGTATACCTTTTATTCACCTCTACATGGCACCTTCACAAAAACTGACCATGTGGCATAAAAACCACACAGCCGAATGAAGAAAAGCAGAAATATTAAATGCATCCTTTTCAGACCATAATGCAATAAAAATTATATTCAATAAAAGACCGTGAAAACACAGATTAAAAACTAATTGGAAACTAAATAATCTAATCCTAAAGAATGAGTGGGTCAAAGAACAAATCACAGAAACAATCAATAATTTCGTTAAAGAGAATGACAATAATGAGAACATACGAAAATTTACGGGATGCAGCCAAAGCAGTACTTAGCACTTTAAACATTTACATTAATAAAACACTGGAAGAAGAGATCAATGAATTGGGCGTGCAACTAAAAAAACGAGAAAAAGAAGAGATGAAAAATCCCCAATTAAACACTAAATTGGAAATCCTAAAAAAACTAAAAGTGATTAATAAATTGAAAGCAAAAAACCACTGAGCTAATAATTAAAAGCTGGAGCTAGTTTTAATGAAGAAAAAAATAACACAGATAAACCACTGGTTAATTTAAATTTTTTTTAAAAAAGAAAGAAAACCAAATGACCATATCAAAAATGAAAAGGGTGAACTGCCAAACAATGAAGATGAAATTAAAGCAATTAGGAGCTACTTTATATGCCAATTGTATGCTAATAAATCTGACAATCTAGGTGAAACGGATGAATACTAACAAAAATATAAACTGCCCAGATTAACAAAAAAGGAAATAGAATACTTAAGTAACACCATCTTGGAAAAAGAAACTGAACAAGCCATCAATGAGCTCGCTAAGAAAAACTCTTCAGGACCAGATGGATTCACAAGTGAATTCTACCAGACATTTAAAGAACAATTAATTCCAATATTATATAAACTATTTGGAAAAACAGGTGAAAAAGGAGTCCTACCAAATTCCTTTTATGATACAAATTATGCTGATACCTAAACCAGGAAGAGCAAAAACAGAGAAAGAAAACTATAGACCAATTTCCCTAATGAATACTGATGTAAAAATTTTAAATAAAATACAAGCAAGGAGATTACAGCCACGTACCACAAAGCTCATACAGGATGACCAGGGGAGATTTATACCAAGAATGCAGGGCTGGTTTAATATTAGGAAAACTATCAGCATAATCGACCACACCAATAACAAAACCAACAAAAATCATATGATTTATCAAGAGAAGCAGAAAAATCTTCTGACAAAATACAACACCCATTCCTATTAAAAACACTAGAAAGCGGAAGAATAAATGGAGTTTCCCTCAAAATGGTAAGTGGTGTCTATCTAAAACCATCAGCCAGCATTATCTGTAATGGGGATAAGCTAGAAGTCTTCCCAGTAAAATCAAGGGTGAAACAAGGATGCCTATTATCACCACCATTATTCAATACTGTTCTGAAAGAAATTGAAGGAATTAGAACAGGCAGTGAGGAAATTACACTATCACTCTTTGCAGACATGATAGTATACTGAGAGAATCTTAAAGAACAACTAAATAACTAGCTGATATAATTAACAAATTCAGCAAAGTTGTAGGATACAAAATAAACCCACACAAATGATCAGCATTTCTATATATTACCAACAAAGTTCTGCAGCAAGAGACAGAGAAATTCCATTTAAAATAACTGTATAAAACATTTGGGAGTCTACTGCTCCCTGACACTACCCAAGCACTACTACTGCCCAAGACAGACCCAGCAGCTACATGAATACAAATAAAGTCAGATCGGAACATTGGGAAAAACACTAATCACTCCTGGGTAGGCTAAGCCAATAAAACGACAACGACAATTCTAAATTAATCTAATTATTCAGTGTCATACCAAACTCCCAAGAAAAAAATAACAAAATTCATCTGGAAGAACAAAAGGTCAAGGATATCCAGGGAATTCATGGAAAAAAAATGTGGAGGAAGGTGGCCTAGCTGTACTAAATCTCAAACTTTATTTTAAAGAGGTAATCATCAAAACAATCTGATGCTGGCCAAGAAACAGAGTGGTAGATCAGTGGAAAAGATTAGGTCCATAATACAGAGGAGTAAAAGACCACAGTAATCCAATGTTTAATAAACCCAAAGATTCAAGTTTTTGGGACAAGAACTCACTATTTGACAAAAATTGCTGAGATAACCAGAAAACAGTTTGACAAAAACCAGGTATACAACGTCTCACACCATATACCAAAATAAGGTCAAAACAGATAAATGATTTAGGTGTAAAGGGTGATATAAGTAAATCAGGGGCGCATACAAAAATGTCCCTGTCAGATTTATGGTAAGGGAAGAGTTTGTGACTAAATAAGAGAAGGACAGCATTATGGGAAGTAAAACAGATAATTTTGGTTACATGAAATTAGAAAGTTCTTTGCCTAAACAAAACAAATGCAGCCAAAATTAGAAGGAAAGCAGGAAATTCAGAAAACAGTTTCACAGCAGACTTCTCTGAGAAAGACCTCACTTCTCAAATATATAGGGAACTGAGCCAAGTTTATAAAAATAAGAATTGTTCCCCAGCTGATAAATGGTTAAAGGATATGAAGAGGCAGTTTTCAGAAGCAGAAATAACAGCTACCTACAGTCACATGAAAAAATGCTCTAAATCACCTTTGACTAGAGAAACGTTCACATCTATCAAATAGGCTGACACGACAGAAATGGAAAATGATAAATGCTGGAGGGGATGTAGAAAAATCAGGACACTAATGCATTGTTGGTGGAGTTGCGAACTACCCTCAACCATTCTGGAGCACAATTTGGAACTGGGCTATAAAACTGTGCAAACTCTTTGACCCAGCAATACTACTACTAGGTCTGTATCCCAAAGAGATCAAAGAAAAGGGAAAAGGACTTCTTTGTGCAAAAACATTTATAGCAACCCTTTTTGTGGTGGCAAAGAATTAGAAATTGAAGGGATGCCCATCCATTGGGGAGTGGCTGAACAGGTTGTGGTATATGATTATGAAGGAATGCTATTTTGCTATAAGAAATGACAAGCAGGATGCTTTCAGGAAAACCAAAGGAAGACTTCAAAGAACTCATGCAAAGTGAAATAGCAGAACCAGAACTATTACACTGTAACATCAGTATTTTTAAGGATGATAAACTGTGAAAGATTTAGTTGTTCTAATCATGATAATGATCCAAGACAATTCCAAAGGATCCCTGATGAAAAAATCTCCAGAGAACTGATGAGCTCTGAATGCAAACTGAAGCATACTTTTTTAAACTTTATTCTTATTTTATTTTGTTTGGTTTTCTTCTGCAACATGGCTAATACAGAAATGTTTTGTATGACTTCACATGTATAATCAACATCAAATTGCCTTTTCAAGGGAGGGAGGGACTAGAGGGAAGAAGAGAATTTGGAACTCAAAATTTCAAAAAATTATTGTTAAAAAATTTTTACATGTAATTGAGAAATGCTTAACAAAATGAAAATGATTTTAAAAAAAACTTTGAGTTCAAATTCTGCCTCAGATGCTTACTAGCTCTGTGAACTGGGAGTCCATGAAGATTGGGAGCTCCCTGAGAGCAGGGCTGGTTTTCTTAGCTTTGGTTTAGCTCGTTTGTGTATCTCCACTGCTTCTCAATGTATCTAGTACATAGCAGGCACTTAACGAATGATAGCTATCTGACCTTGGGCAAGTCACTTAACCTCTATTTGTCTCATTTTCCTCAACTCTGAAATGAGTATAACAGTACCTACCTCCCAGACCTGTCCTGAGGATCAAATGAGATCTTATTTGGAAAGTGTTTTGCAAACCTTAAAGCTCTCTTCAACAGCTAGCTGTGATCATTATATGCTCTCAGATGTGGCGCCAGTACCAGCTGATTTTGCTTAAGCGCTTTTTACTAGTTACAAGGGAAGGCTCAGCAGGGGTAGGGAGGGAGACATCCAGAAATGACTGATCTGAGAACAGACGCTTCGCTTTTACCAACCTAATCAAGCAAAGATAAAGACAGGCAGCCTGAAAAAAAATACAAAAATAAAGAATGATTCTGATCCAAACCTGGGGAATCAGAGAAAGCTTCAGTCTAGGAAGGAACCTAAGGATATGCAGGAAGGGAGTCTCTAAGGGAGTAAATACAAATGTGTGCATTAAGGTAGGAAAGTGCCACTTGTCTTTGGGCCATCCCCCCATCTCTTACATGTACTACCTGTGTGACCTTGGACAGGTCACTGAAAGAACCAAGCAAAGCGATCTGTGAGGCTCCTTTGGCTCCTCATCTAATAACGTGAACGCTGTGAGGATGCACCGAGGTCTGCCTGACGGCAAAGCCCAGGCAGCTGCTGTGTGAAGGCCAAGGCTTATTAAAAGGGGCTTCATCCATCTGAGCAGCATCTCAGCTCCTCCCACAGCCCTTCAGACAGGAGTTCAACCACATGCTGTCCTACAGCACCACCTAGTGATGCCAGGAGGAAAAGCTGGCCATTTGGGTGGGTGGGGGGGAGGGGCAGAGCCGGACTGTGGCAGAGGTGAGCAGAGTCACTTGATGAAATACGGAGGGAGGCAGAACCTCAGAATCTGAGGGACAGGGGAGAGTAAGAACTGGGACCTCATTAGTGGAGGCCTAGACATCCAGGAGCAAGTGAAAGGATTATTTACTCAATCAGCAAGCATCCATTAAGCACCTCCTGTCTTCACTGGGGAGAGTCCATGGGGCTTTGTAGGGGAAGAGAGGGTCAC